CACACTTAATTATTATAATTATTTTTAAATCCACATCAAATAAGTCCGTATTAGGCGTAAATATATAGAGAAAAATCCCGTTTGAGATATTACTTTTCCCTTCCGTCACCTGGCCCGGGCTAACTTTTCAACACTCTTTATTGCCGTCCGAGATAAGTTGTAAGACTCAATACGAGTTGTATACAATTGAGAACTGATAAAAATTTTTTTTTTTTTATTTGAAATGTTTTTTTTATATCTCATGATTAAAATTACCACAGAAACAAGGATGAACAAAATACAAATAAAGAAAAAACTTTAAAATAATATGTTTTTAATTTAAACAAAACTTGCGAATAACAAAAAATTAAGATGAATATTAATTATTATATAAATTAAGCGATACATATTTCATAACAAAAACTATTTCGACACAAATACAAATAAAGCGGAATGTATGAAAAAAATCATAAAATCTGTTAAAATCGATCGAACAAAAAAATATATAAAGACAGTTTACACATCACTGGTCTATTCTAAGTACCTAAATTAATTATGTCGTTATATATTCAAAATATACGTATACTTCTAAAAAAAAAAGAATTATGTCAGTGCATCTATTTGTAACGCATGTGATATTATAATATATATGTAGCATTCATCCGATTGCTATCAAAATTTTCTTGATAATAAAGTGAAAGGTTTTTTTTATATTAGAAGATGTGTGATGTGTTAAATAAATTAAACCTACTACAAATCCAAAAACAAACTCGAATTAAATAAAAAAGTATATATTATAGTAAGTACCTACCTATATAAAGTTGACAAAGTTTTATTGCAATCGGATGAACAGTATGCCAGCGCTTTAAATACGAATAAACAAACATAGATTTTTATATCCATGTATTTTAAATATTTTAAATGGCAAGTCAAGTTATACTGACATCGTTTTTTTTTTGTGAAAACTAATAAATAAACATCAATACATAATATAATATGTAATATAAAAATAATGTAACATAAAAAAGGTGATATATGTGGGAAAAAAAAAACTAAAATTATGCTTTGCTATTTTACTCTTAAACTACAATAATTATAATTATCGTTCCATGACTAGGACGATTGCGGTTGACATTTGAAAAAAAAATCTGTAATTATATTTAAAAAAAAATACATTTTCATCAATAAGTAATTTCAATATTATAATGTAACATCACAAAAATAATAAAAAATAATTTTCTAAGTACAAAAAAATTAAGTAACTACAAACTAATTATGATTTTTTATTCGACTCGAGTGATATTAAGCTTTTTAATCGATTTCATGTAGGATGGTGCATTTGACAATTTGACAGTTCTAGGAATATGGCAGTCACGAATCGAAATGATGTGTTCGTGTGTTATTACTCCTTTTTGTTTCCTTAATACTCTAAAGGAGCTTTTTACGTGAATCTTGTTATTATATACATTTTTTTCAATAAAATCATTTATTTTTCAAATAAAAAAAAAAGAATCATCATTTTTAAATTCATCGATTTTCAAGCGAGTTAACGATGTTTCTTTAAGATTTACAATAAATTGACTGTGACATCGCACTAAAGAATAGCTTCTGTCCATATAAATAATTAAATAAATATAATTTTTACTTCAAATTAGAACAAGTTGATTGATGTAACAATGATACTTTTCTTCTAAAAAAAATATTTCGAAGTGAAATGTCTTTAAAACCACAACATCCCGTATGTTCAGTACCAGATCAGAAAAGTGAACCTTAAAGAGATAGGTTGCTAAGGTTGCCATAGTAACCGTTGTTATTGTCCGAAATGTGATATAATAATTTAACATGCTCTTTCCGTTGGTATTTTCAATGATGCCAAATTAGAAAAAAAAAGTTGTCCAATATTAACCGAAAGAACTTTATATACACTACATATTTAGTGTCAGTATATGTAGCATTAAAACAATTTATTAAGTCAATTTTGTTTTCATTCCAATCTTTAACACTAAAAGCGATTCGCTGAAATAGACGTTTCACGTTAAACCACCCGGCACAGCCCCACCCGATTTTATTTTTCGGAAAAATTTTCGGAAAAAAAAAGAATAAAAAAATATAGAAATAGTCGTTTAGTAGTTTCTCACTTACAACTTTATACCAACGCTCGATAAAACTATAGAATAACTTGATATATGCTAGCACCATCCTATTTGAAATAGACTACGCATACGAAATAACATACAAAATTGACAGCTAAATATAGATAATAATTAATCTAATACCAATTAAGATTAAATTCAATTCAATTAATTTGCATTTAATGCTATATTTTTAATTTTTATTACAATTTAGACTCAATTAATTTATTGGGTTACATTTTTTTTAATTACTTTTTTCTTTAAATTTAATTTTTTTAATTATATTTTTTTAGCACATACGAACATATATAGTGACTTTCCCCGTGCCGGATTAAAAAGCTAATTAAAAGCAAAAATAAACATGGTCGTTTAACATTTTACTAGTTATTGAACCTCTTTATGTAAATTAAGGTAATAAACTTCTATAATTACTTTGGTAAAATTTCAAAAATAACAACTGACACCATCACCTACCACATGTCATTAATAATATCAATTATCTCCTTCACATAGTTTATTGTAATAATATTTAAAATTGCAAGTAATAAAAAACAAATTGGCAAAGACTCGGAACCGGTTTAAAAAAACGAAATGAATATTCGCTCGACGTTATGGGAGTATTTATAATTTTTAATAATGTTTTTTTTTTGAGAATTCATTTATAGATAAATATAAAAATTCTGAGTACAGGAAAGCTTCCCGTAGATGATATGTAGATCGCCCAAATAATGCGTCCTAAAAAAACGGTTTATTTCGGTAATGTAATGGTTAAATTCATCGCTCGTTCTTTAACCGTTTTATGAAAATAAACGGTTTAATAAAGCGAAATATTAATCGTTAACGGTTATTCTAAGAGAATGGTTGGATTTCGGTTTTGATACTGAAATAAACCGGTTAATTTTGGTCATGGAATCTAAATTCCTCAAAAACCGTTCTCCCACACTAAACCGGTTGAATTACGTAATCGAAACCTTAAACAGAAAAGCCAGGTCATTGACCAAAACCGGTTTAAAAATTGAACCGGTTTCCGAGCCCTACTCATTGCTTCAATATTACCATCATAATTCATACTAATAACAAAAATGTGAAGTAACACTTGTCTTTGCTACATTTTCAAGCTTATAACGCAGAACAGATTTTGATGAAATTTAGCAAATAAATAGTTTGTATTATAGGTATGTCATATAATATGCTACTTTCCCGACTCGCTTACAGCGAACAGCGAAACCGCGGGCAAAAACTAGTATGAAAAATAAATTAATTAATCCTGAATTATTAATATCATCCGAACATCCACAAAATAATGTTATTGAAAAAATATTTTTAAATTAAATAATATTAAAAATTGTGTTAATATGATCATCTAATAAAATTTAAGCAAGGCTTTTCAAGCATTTTTTATATATAATAAATGATATGCCGCACTAATTATAGACTTTGAGCTTAAATACTACCACTAGTGACCAAAACGTGCAAACCTACAAAATATAAAAAAAAATGTAACAACACCAAAACTATAGATTTATATTAAGTTGAAATAAAACGTTGTAGTCTACAGTCCCCAACGGATATTTTTTATTGATTAATAACTAAAACTTCGTAAGTAGCTTCATTTTGGACGAGACGAGACGTCCAACTATTCTTTCTACGAGAATTTGATAGTAGTAGATAATATAGGGAATATGCGTGTTATTTAAATAAAGGTGAAATATATTTTATTATAATCTTTATTGCTTTCGAATTAAGCCTGTATCAATATTTTTTAATGTAATCTCTTTTTGATTAAGAAAATAATTATTAAAAAGCGCAAATATAGGTGAGACATTCAAAGTAGCTACGAACTAGTCGTCATTTCTCTATATATGATACTGTGACGTCACGTCAAGCGTGATGGCGGGCGTTTAAAATATCCATATTGGTATGATTTTTTTTATACATTTTTTTTGTGCTGGATATTCTTTTTACAATTATATAAAGGTGTTAGCTATTATAAAAAAATCACGCATATTCCTTATTGTGGCTTCATACGGGACATGTCAAAACGGTGATAAGCTAAAATTTATTACTGACAAATTGTTTCACAATTTAATCTTGAGATAATACAACATTAAACTAAACAAGAAAAAAAAGTGGTCCTACAAAACGACGATTTGTACCAAATAGCACCCCTCTCCGGAACTTGTTAAAATATCAACGTCATAAAATTTATTAATAACCGGCTGATTTTCATAGTGTTTATTATTAAAAAATATGCATAATTGAATGATCAAATAGTCATACAAATAAAATAGTAGGATTTCTGACCAGGGCTGCCAGACTGTATAATTGGATACGAAAATTGTAAAATATGGTTATTTTACGTACATTTCATTTTAAGTTAATACGTATTTTTATTGATTTTTTTTTATTCGTCACAAAGTATTTCTCAATATTTTTTTAATTCGTGTAATGAAATTTGATTTGGTATAATTTGAGTGAGCCAGCGGTATAAAATATGTTGGCTTTACTGGCAGCAGTTTCCTCTACTGGCAGCCCTGGATTTCTCAATCGGATGTTGTCTCGCCCATCTCCTTGTTGGGACTGTAGACTAAGGGCCGATCCATACTATAGTGCCAATCTCGATCCGATATTGGTATTTTTATACAAGAAACGTTGCTGGAGTTTTACTCGACCGTTGAATTTTACTGTTAGTGTGAATGCACTCACTGTTTAGTGTTTCCTGTATAAAAATATTTTACCAAACCGGTATCGGACCGAGAACGAACCGTGATCGGCACTATAGTGTGCCTGGGACCTAATTGTAATAGAACACATTAATTGTAAATTCCCAGCTGTAAAAAAACGAGATTAATTCATATATAAGTATGGAAAGTAAGTTAATACAGTTTATTCTTCACTTAGCGGAGGTTTTGTGTCCCGACGCCAACTTAGCAACTCGTCTAACAAATCTTCTAAGTGAGGATTGCCTCCCAAGCGTCTAACCTGAAAATATATGTAATATATTTTTATTGTACAATTAGTGTATTTTCCCGTGGGAATGAAAAATATTTCTTGTGTTAAGAGGTATCCTAAATGTTGACCCGAGTAATAAGTTATGACTACACAAAATTTAGTCAAAATTGGCTTAGTGCTTTTTGTGTAAAACGCGCACACACGAACAGACATATAGACAAAAATTTTAATAACTATTGTTATACGGTCTATATTCTGTATACAAATTAAACGTTATAGTCATTATTTTTTAAGAATATTTCATGTACAGATTTCACTAACTTACCGTTTTATTATATATATATATGTATATAGATTATACAACTAACGACTTACGTCCCTAAGTACAAGGATTTTGTTCACAACTTCACAGTTTTTAATTTTTTTGTGCGGAACCCTAATTCTTTTTCTAAAGTAAAAGTAGCTTAAGTTACTCCTTATAACATCATCTATTTGCCAGAGAAAGTCCCGTAAAAATGGTCCAGTCGTTTCGGAGATTAGCCGGAACAAGCAGACACACAAAAATAAAAATAAAATATTTTTTACAAGCAACATATTTTTTTCTGTTATTTATTATTATAAACAGTGATTTATATGAACAGGTGTTCAAAAATATCTATACTATTCAATACTACGCTTTTTTAACGTCGGTTAACTTATTAATGATTTCAATTTCAATACTCTTACTGTCTTAATGCTCAGTCTCAGATAGATCGATCAGGTATAAAAATCAGTGCTTCTGGTAATTTGTACGCCAAAAGTCAGTCATGTAACATCGGCAGTTAGAGGCCATTTATTAATTACGTAAGGATAATTTTGACGATCATTGACTCCGCCTACCCTCATGTAATAATAATAATAAACGAGTTGTGTCAACTTACCTCAGCTCTGGCTTCATTATCAAGTTCTTGCAAGCAGTCCCGAGTGTACTGGAAACTCCCAAATCTCTCTAACAGGGAAATACAATAGCGCTTCACTTCAACATCGCGTGTGCGTTGACGCAGTATGTCTGTTTATGCTAAGGATTTTATTAGATATTACTAACTTAATCCTTTCCAAAAGGCGAGTGGTAGACCAGTGGAAGGGAGTTCCAATCCCGGGTCTCGCATCTCTGATATTTTCATGTGCGAATCATTTCCAACATGATTACCACTTGTCTTAACGGTGAAGGAAAACATCGTGAGGAAACCTGCATGTCTGAGAGAACCTAGCAAGTTTTCGAAAATCATGTGAATACTTAAAATTTTAATTTAACTTACACTACTAACTAATATTATACTAATTAAATAGAGTTAAATCCGAGTCGATTTTAAGCTTACAGCTTTGGTATCGATTTGAAGTTTCAGAAGCATCCGAAATCCGGATGACAATGTAATAATTTCATACAAAAATTCTTTAGTAAAAAAACCCCCTTAGTATTTTCTGAACTTCCCAACATTCCGGGGAAACCCTCTTTTAAATTATTTCTTTCCCTTAATGGTTACAATCAAAAATTTAAAAAACAAATCAGCTAAAGAGTAGTTAGTCCAGCGCTCTGAAATAATTTTTTACCAAAAAACAGCATATCATTATTATTTCTACAGAAAAGGATACGAAGTACTTGATTATCGCCTTTCTGATTCTGTATCGCGTGGATGATGGGAAAACTGAATTTGCCTTCTGTTAGATCTTCACAATAGCTTTTGTTTTCAGAATACTGAAATTAAAGATAAATTTGTTTATTTAATACTAGCGACTCACCCTAGCTTCGTTCGGGTTCGTCCTTGTTCGTCGTTGCTTACCCATACAAACTTTCATCCCCTTAAGAGATGATTTCCGGGATAAAAACTAGCCTATGTCATTCCCACCCTGGGAAGACTCAGACTATCATCTTACCAAATTTCATCAAAATCGGTTCAGTACTTTCGGAGCACATTCGATACAAACAAATATATATATATATATATCTTTATTGCTTCTGAATTTAGCCTACATCAATATTTTTTCAATGTAATTTCTTTTTGATGAAGAAAATAGTTTTTTATAAAATGCAAAAATAGGTGGAAAATTTAAAGTAGTTAAAACACACACCATTGGTCAGACTAAATGTGACGTCAAAGTCGCAAGTAGATATTTGTAAAAAATATAAGATACATAATTATGTATATAATATATAATTATATATTAATTATTAACTTTTTTCCTCGCTGCAAAGACAATAAGACTTTTTCAACTACCAATTAAAGTATATTAAAATAAAAGAAAGACGATAAAAGATATACATTATTCAAAAAAAAGTACTTCATTCATTTACATACAATAAAATATATATTATGTGTTTTAAATAAATATGTAGGGACATTATCACACACCACCATCTAGTTTCATGGTAAACTACGACGCTTGTGTTATGGATACCAAATAGTTGATACACTACATATATATATAACTTTAAATACATACATATTATAAATATAAACACCCATGACTGGAGTACAAACATTCCTGCTCATCACACAAATTAATGCCCCCAGCGGGACTCGAACCGCGACCGCTGGCACAGCAACTAGGGTCACTTCAAACTGAGCCAAGAGTCGTCTATTTATAATATACATTTTACCAACAACTCATGGTATTTGGACTCACCTCTTGAAAACACAAATTGCAGTAGTCGTCTCTTATTTGGAAGTACAAGCCTAGTATCGAGGACAGTTTGGTAAAGTCCGATTTGTTATCGCTAAATAGTTGCATAAGTCGAATTGCGAGCATAAAAAGACCACCGGTTTCTGGAAAGAAACAAATTTTTAATCTATACTAATATTATAAAGAGGTAAAGTTTGTGAGTTTTAGGGGGTAATCACTGGATCTACTGAACAGATTTAGATGAAATTTGGTGAGAAGATAGTTAGAGACCCTGGGAAGGACATAGGATACTTTTTATCTCGGAAGTCATCCCTTAAGAGGGTTAAAATGGGGATGATAGTGTGTACGGCGCATCAAGCTAGGGACGAACCCGAGCGAGGCGAGGGTGAGTCGCTAGTTGATTTAAAATACTAAATAGACCGTGAAATATGGCATAGCTATTTCGCTTTCGTTTTATCAATAGATTAAAGTGTCTGTTTGTAATGTCAAAATAACAGCTTTTTACTAAATGCATATGAAATTATATACGGTACCTACATATAAGAAAACACAAAAAAAGTTTAAACGTTTTGTCTGTCTGTCTGTTTGTTCCGGCTAAACTCCGCAACAGTGGTGGAAATATTGACGGGAATTTCACTGAGAGATAGCTGATGTTATAAGGAGTAACTGAGGGTTCCGCTCAAAAACATTAAAACGTACATAGGGGCGCACACGAGCGAAGCGAGGCTAAGTCGCTAGTAAAAGTGATAAAGTAACCGTAATTCGTTAGTATCTTATTACATTGTTTCTAGTTTCATAGTTTCGATGTCAGTCATTTAATTACCTTGAAGGTTGAAAAAATATCTCAATTTTTCCGTATCGTAATATTATAATAAACGGCTAAACACAATTTGATGTAATTCGGCAAGGGCAAATTGTATCAAGGATAACCTTTGTCTTATTGTTTTTTCCGCTTATTTGCCAATGAAATTGCAATAAATCTTGTCGGCTAGTATTAATATTGATGCGAAACTTTGTATCTGTGTGTATGTTTGTGTAAATCTCTGTTACTCCTTCAGGATTTGGAATAAGTTTAGTATACAGATAGACTTAGGGTTCTTTGTTCACCTTCTGGCCGATTTCGGCCACGGTGGCCAATCTTACCGAGACTAACCAACCGCGCAGGAAATATTATAGTGCACAAGTTTGTGCACAGACACAAGTCCACTCTCTATTCCTTTTACTCTCAAAGTCCGATGGGACTGTAGCTACACTCGGCGTCTCGTGAAAGACAAAAAAGTTAGCTCTGAAGAGCTGTTTGTGTCCGATGAAACAATAAAAATTAGCTCCGGTACCGGATATAACCTTAGCGCCGCCCCTGGGCATAGTAAAAAATGCCGCCCAATTATCATTATTTTTGCATAAAATGGGTAGTTTCGATCAAGTTTAATTTTTTTTAATTATTATATTTTTTTTGAAAAATATTAAAAAACTAATTTATACCTAAATGATTTCAATTTTTCGAAATATGTAAAAGTATTTCTTTTTAATAATTCATTTTTTGGAAAATAAAAAAAGCATTTTCGATAACGCGAAGAAATTTTTTTTCCCACCCTCCGAATTTTGCCGCCCATAAAAATTTGCCGTCTTGAGCACTAGCTCCGAGTGACCCTGGCGTAAATCCAGGGCTGATTAGCTCTAAAAAGAGCTGTTGCAGTTCGTCGAAACAGTGATAGTCAGCTCTGAAATGAGTTATTACATCGCCAGTATTAGTAGGGGAGCCCAAGAGGGGATTATCTGTAGTTACTCGAGGGCGGCAGATTAACATAAAAGAGGTTACCTTGCACTCTATTGAGTACTTTCACCACAATATAAGTCTTCTATATAAAGGGGCGCGTCTAGGGAAGCCGATTAAAATATTTAAAAAATGTTTTGATAAGGTAAAAATACTTGAAACCGTCAGATTAAGGTGTGGTAGGCTAGTCACATCCTGAAAAGTGTCCAAATCAATAATCTGCCGATTTGCACAAGCCGAAGAGGCAAAAATCGACTATAAAGTTTATGATTTATTTCTACCTTATCAAAACATTTTTTAAATATTTTAATCGGCTTCCCTAGACGCGCCCCTTTATATAGAAGACTTATATTATGGTGAAAGTACTCAATAGAGTGCAAGGTAACCTCTTTTATGTTAATCTGCCGCGCTCGAGTAACTACAGAAAATCCCCTCTTGGGCTCCCCTACTATATGAAACATGACGTGAAAGGAACGGTTTGTATGAGTCTATTCTACGCATTCTACTCATTACAAGTGTTTTACTTTAGACCCCCAACTTGTAAAGAGCGATACTTCGCCATGACCGGTGCAGTGAGATACAAGCACTAGACCATCGAGACAAAGGCACCTAAGAACGACGAGGGTAAGTCAATAGTATTAAAAACACTCAAAAAATAACTAAAGAAAAGAAATCAAAAATAATCTTACTTTTCATTGTCATCTCCTTGTACTCATCCTCCGTGGGACATTGAAAGTTATCTCGCCAGTAGATCTCGATGCCTTGACCGCGATGCAATTCCAGTAGCTGTTCTGTATACACTGTTGTAGCCTAAAATTACATACATACATTTAATTGAGAACACGTTTGGTTCAGTTTGTAGCGACCTTACTTGCTGTGCCAGTACTCGCAGGTTCGAGTCCCGTTGGGGGCATTCATTTGTGTGATGAGCACGAATGTTTGTACTCTAGTCATGGATGTTTATATTTATAGTATGTATGTATTTATAGTATGTATGTATTTAAAGTTATATATGTGTAGTGTATCAACTATCTGGTATCCATAACACAGGCCTCGTAGCTTACTATAGAACTAGATGGTGCTGTGTCTTAACGTCCTACCATATTTATTTATTATTTATTGATAGATTTGTGTATGTGTGTATGTATGTATGTTTGTTTGTTGCTAGTTCACGCTAAACTGCTGGATGGATTTGGATGCAAAGTATATAGATAGTAAAGAAATTTGCCTAAGGGCATCTGAATTTATTATTATCAATACAAAAAGTACCTACCCAGAAAAGCACCCGAGCAAAGAGAGAGTAAACCACTAGTGCTTATATATAAATTTTTATGTCTATTTTATCTATGAACAGTATGTATATGTATATTTAATTAATTTAAAGATAAGTTATATACTTTGATCAACAGTAGTATTGTTGATCGAAGATTATATATTACCATGTATGTATACTTTTAAGTGTAATAAGGAGTATATAACACCTACATATATTAAAATCTGAATTATAAATGGAACGTCTTATCCATATTAAAATATAAAAACAACCATATCATTTTTCACATAGAATGTTGAATTGGTCTGAAATTTTTTTAAAGCGTATTTTTAACGTAGAATACATATCTTTAGCAGAATTTAAAAATAGGGATTCGAGTGCGTGTAATCTATACTAATATTATAAAGAGGCAGAAATTGTCTGTATTTGTTTGTTCGTTTGAACGCGCTAATCTCAGGAACTACTAATCCGATTTGAAAAATTCTTTTTGCATTACATAGTCAGTTTATTGAGGAAACCTATAGGCTACATATTACCATAGTACTTACTACCCAAGGGAGCGAAGGAGTAATATAATATATAGACTATTTATTCCATAGCGAAGTGAGGATGACACTAACTTAAGTTCATAATAAATTATTCTCTATCTAACCCCTGTAATATTGCGCTACCTATACATACTGCTAGCACAAACGTACACACATGTATGTTCAGATTACTTATACATTAAATTTTTATTACCAGTGGATGATCAAGCCTTAAAGTCCTCTCGAGTGCTATGATAACGACATAGTTGGCAGCGTTAATAGTGCTCGCAATACCGTAGATGGAATGAGCCACAGGAATACCTCTTCGTAAAATTGAGTTGTCTTGTATGTCGTCCAATCTGGTAAAATATTACAATAAGTGTAAATTAAAAGTATAAAAAAGCATATTTTTGATTGGACATTAACAGGTCATATTCGTATAATAAAATAATTAGCAAGGGTGAGTCTGACTCACGCACCGCGAGTTCCAAGTTCCAACCACTAACCATTAAAGGTAATAAAAATAAAACCTGTGTGGCATTGTCAACATCCTAACATTTCTAGGAATACGTGGCCACCCCCCAACGTGCGTTCATGTTGTCATGGTCCCCATCACGGGTCATTAGCGTCTGGCAATCCAGCCGGGCGAGAAACTTAGGGGGCGGCATGATAAGAATTGCACGCGGGCGTTCGAAGAGCTAGCGACGGGCCTGCGCCTTGCGGAGTACTTTCCACGCTAGTCGACCAATCAAAATTTCTATTCAGCAATGAAAATTACTTCACAATAACCCGATAGAATGTGCTGGTATTTTTAATTTGCTGGTAAATTTTTAATTTTCTCCATTTCATGTTGGTACATAGTATTTATTATGAAATTTTGCCGCCATTTAAAAATTCCGCCTGGGGTGACAAAACTCTATTATTCCTACGCTAAAATTATTTCAATAAAAATTTTAAATGTCTCGTTTTAGGTTGTTACGTAAAATTATATTACACAGTTGATATAGGTACATAATAAATATTGTTGTGGTTTTTTTAAATAAAACTATCTTTTCGGATTTTGTCGCGGATTTATTTGCATTTTTGTTTCCCGACGTTTCGAATGCTTTACAGCGTCCATGGTCACGGGAGAGACAGTTGAGTCTCTAAATCCAAAAAGATAGTTTTATTTAAAATGTCAAATATTCGCGTAAATCTAAGAAAGTATTATTGTTGTGGTTGTACTGAGCCCTCGGAGTGTGAGTTCGAGTTCTACTTTTATTCTTACCTATTTATTAATACTAGTTTGTTTGTTAGTTACGAATAAATCATGTTTTGTTATTAACTTATATAATAATATAATCGATGCTATAGATATAAATGAATTAAAAACATAGAATTTATAAGTGCATAATTATATCACATGAACAAATAAGTTTTTACAATGCACTTAGAGTGCAAGCCACATCCAACTTAAAAGACGTCTTTCTCATGGCCGTTTGCCATCACTAGGTATTAAATTTTTTTTGTCACTTCCTCCACTTTAACGACGTCAAAGAACGCTAGATGGTATAGGTATTTTTTATTTAATAGTGTTGTTTTAAAATAATAGTTAACACTTAAAATAGCACATAAATATGTTCACATAAATAAACTTAATTATAAATGTGCTCATCTTACCTTGATTTGCGTCGTTGATGGTAAACTTTGTTTGAAAATTATAAAATATTTCAAGTAAATTTACAATATATTTTACTATTTAAATTAAATATTATTTTAGAATTTTAATTAATTTCTTAGAAATTTACCCGGAGGAGATATTCTAATAAAATTTACAATAAATTAACGATTACTTTAATACTAAATAAATTATTTATAGAATAGTTGTAATGTAAATATTATTTTTATATTACCTCTCTGTCTTTTTATTCCACTTGCGGCGAAGCCCAAAGGAGGGTTAGTATTTGACCTGTATGTATGTTTGTATGTCCGATCCTACCTATGTTCCCTCGTAACTATTAACCTAATTTCTATTCATCTATTTATTAATGTTTATATTACAACTATTGTATACATGTATTAGAAATATATTTTTCAAATGCGAAAATATTATTTTAAGAGTTGTTAGTATCATATGTCAGTATACATATAAGCCCTGTATCACGGGGTCATGATATCATGAACAAAGTAATTTTTTTTATAACAGATGACGTAATATGTATCGATTTGTTTTTAATGTTCACCTAAAATTCAAAATATTTTGTATTTCTGGCGGCAATAATAGGTACTACGTTGTGATAGCACGATCTTCTATACATATAAGTAAAATTGTAACTAAGCCGAATCTGTACATTAAATATATTTTGGAAAATCTTATTGAAATAGACATTATTATCGATACAGATAGGCCGAATCTATAGGTTTTAGAATTTTTGTCTATCTGTCTGTTACCGCATCACAGAAAAACCACTGGAGGGATTTTGATGAAATTTGATATGGTGATAGCTGGTTACCCGGGTCAACATATAGGATACTTTGTACCGCGGGAAAATGTCTCATTTCTGAGAAAAAAATACAAAAACTGCAATGTAAGAGTAAACTAATATGTAAAACCTAAGAATTTGGTTTTTGGTCATCTGAACGCGGGCGGAGCCGCGGGCAATGTTAGTTGATAATAATTGTGTATATTCTGTTAAAAGATGGCGCTCAATACAATAAAAGAGTTCTTAAATGTAATTAAATATTTTATTTTTCTTTGATACCTATACGAGTATATTTTATAGGTTAATTTCGTTCTTTCTAGTTTAAATTTTGCGTTAAAAAATAATAAGTCTATTCAAATAATGTCTAAGCCAATTGTGGTGAAGTTTTCATTGTGGCTGTAGATGAATTCAATAAATAAATGATAAAAAATGCATTTAGTTTATTGACAAGATGAGTTAATATTTTCAACCGACTTCCTCAAAAAGGAGGAGGTTCTCAATTCGGCTATTTTATATTTCTTTTATTGATATCTTGTTATCTTGCAACTCAATTTTCAAGCAGATATCTTCAACCGATTTAGCTGAAATTTTGTATACACGTTTACTATATATATACACACACGTATGTACACGTTTAATTTGGATGACAATGCATGGCTAGCTGTTGACGTTAATTTCTTTACGAGCTACAAAAAATCGGTAAAAGAAATAAACATATATCCAAAGCGTAAATTAAAAAAAGAATTCCAGAAGTAATAATACTATTCCACGTCGTAAAATAAAGGAATCGTACCTACAAAGGCAACAAAATCTTTTTTGGAAAGAATACCAATATCGGCAGGCCCCTATACAAAGATAAAGCGCGTAGTTAGTTATACATATTTGTTTTGTAGCACCCAAATACAATTTTTTTAAATATGTATAAATAATTGCAATAGTAGCATTGACAGGCCTTACATAGTTACCTAAAACATTGCGCAGCGGCTGCTCGGGGACAAATACCTTAGCTTTTATCGCCCTCTATCATTTAGAGCCTTTACATTTACAACCATTTTAGGAATTATTCATTTTAAGGTGAATATCGCATTCAAAGGTTTCGTGACAACAGAACAGGTGGAACTAATAAAAGCGTGTTAAAAATACTGCTGATTCAGTTATTTCACACAAATGCTTTTTTATGTTAGGCAATGTAAATTGGACATACCTATTTTGTTTTTTTTTTTAGCATTGAACAGTAAGTTAAATAACTTAGTATTTTAAACCAGCTAAGTATAATATAATTGACAATGCACTGTTTACTTGGTCATAATTTAACTTTAATACGCTCGACTTAAAAAATATTAATGAGGTATTATCAGCAATGAGCACAATTATACAATACAATACAAGACACAGATAACCTATAAGAAATAGATGCATATTTAATGTTTTTGAATAATACAATTATAATAATAGTATTATTATAATACAATTATAATAATAGTCATTTGCAAAAAGAAGGACAAAAAATATTGAACATTCCTATAACCATCTCCTTTTACGATGAATGCGTTGGTTAATGTTTTATCAACAACAATTAAGAGATGAGTCACTGTTTTTTACCCACACTAATTTGAAAAATTTGTCAACTGTTTGCAGAAACTAGTTCTAACTACTTCATAGAGATTCTGAAGATATCTAGATTTTGATTAATATCTAATATGTTTATATTTTATTTAATATACATATTATAATATTTAATATAAGTATTAAGTTTAATTTAGATGCATTGTTTATTTTTGGTATGAATGTAATCTACTATATTATATGTATACTTATAATAACATTCTGAGTTGAATCAACCACAAAAATAAAAGAAGTCATGTAAAAAAAATTCTAACACAATGTAAATGAAATGTAGCACAAATAAAACCCTAATAAGTAATAAATCTATTGAATGAATGAAAATGGTGATGAAACTATGGGGATATCTTCTAATTCTTTCCAAATAACCAGTTAAGTTTTAAGCATTTTATCATAACCAGTGTGGAGCTAACACTTTTGCCATGATGTATCAGATCACCATCACCATGACCACCATCACCTCTGAGCTCATCACCCTATGAATAAAAATAGTATAAAAAATGCCCTATAGGCAAAAAAGAGGCATAAAGAAATGGAAACTTTTTGTTGAATTTGTTTGATTTGATTAATGTCCAATTTAATAAATTGTATTGAAACGGAATGTGTTGCTGTTTTAGTATAAACCCCATATGGTGTGAAGTTAACCATTTTTTTTTGTGAATTGGTATTTTTCAAGTGTTACACCCATTTAGTAAGTTAAGTTAATGTGTCTTGTTCTAGAAAAAAAATCCATGAAATTTAATAACTTCCAAACTTAACTCATCATCGAGTAGTTGACTAACGGTACTGTTTTCATCATATAGCTGAATTTTCTGGACAGCACAAGAGTCACAGGATTGTAAGATTGGTGGAAAGTAAATCCAAGTAGATTTCCTATGACCAAATATGTATATTTTACGACATTTTGCTGAGACTTATTTAATAATTTTATCTGTTCTGATATATATAACTTGTCTAAAAATATATTTTTCAAAAATTCAATAACTACCATTTATTTGCGAAAAAACATTAATAAAAAAAATTATAACTTAAAAAAAAAAACAATGAATTGGGATTAAATTCTACATTCAAAAAAATCAGGAGTTTATATTAATTGTATGAAAATGACTTACAATAAGCTGGAATTGTGTAACATCTGCACTATCTCCCCAATGGCTCGGAGCTTTTCATCACTTACTCTTAACCAATAATTAAAGGCTAAGGTGAGTTTTGTCCTAATTTGCTTTCCTGGTACTTGCTGAATATATGTGAATGGCATCAAAAGTTTCTTAAACAAAAATAATTATAAATTATAAATATAATATTGAAAACTATATTTTTTTTTGTAAAATATAAATAAATTTTTTATACTATCATACCTCTCATTTAAATTTAACCACAGATTTTATTTCAGATTTGATATTGTTTTAAAAACAAAATTACTTAACAGACAATAATACTTTCCCAAAAATCACTGTTTATATATATCTAAGTTTTATCCAATTAGTAAATAAGATTAAAAACATAATATAATCGAAAAATGTAATAATAATTGTAACTTACCTCATCTTGGTCTTTATCGCCGCCTTTAGTATTTATTAACGACATTTTGCTGAATGCTGAGACTTATTTAGAAATTATTTAACTTTATTAAAACCCTAAGTGCGGTCAAGAAATCGATTTTCAACTGCAGTACTTTATGTCAAATATGCTTAGATTTGACAGCTTGTTGTGGTCTGTGCTTTGACAGCACTAAGAGAACAGTGTCACTGTTTAGTATTGAACTGAGTTTAAGGCACGATCCAGATTAGCATCAGATATCATTATAAATACGGTTTACAAGCTTTTATCCGAGGTTTCACTCTCATAATTATTTATTTAGTTAATAAATGTAAAAAAACTGATAAAGTGGTTCATAATGCAAAAGAAAATTTAAATTAAAACAAACAAATAAAAAACAAGAACACAAGGTAGATCTCAGATCCATATAGAAAGGTAGACAGAACAGTAGTCAGAATATTAGGTGAAACCACAGCCATATAAGTAAGTTCTGTGAAATACGAAAGTTCACAAAATTTAAAGTTTTCTTCTTGCTTTCGTATTGTCTCTCTGATTATCTATACTATTATCAATATTATAAATGCGAAAGTAACTCTGTTACCTTTTTACGCTTAATATGATGAACCGATTTAGATGGAATTTGGTATGGAGATTGTTTAAGGCTATGGAAAGAATATAGGATAATTTTTTATCATACCTTATCCCTTAAGAGGGTGAAAAGAGGGATTTCTCAAGTAAGGGATATAGAACTCATCAAACCATCAAACATGTACGTAACATATAATCTATCTATTCCATACCAATCGTTAAAACGTACCTAGGGACAAACCCGAGCAAAGTGTGTGTGAGTCGCCAGTTTATGAATAAGTAAAAAATCCTTATATAATCTAGCGTATAGAGTATATTAAAGCATAGATAAAATAATTTTTTTTATAATAGCTATCTGCCAGTGTCACGTTTTGTGAGCAAGACACGAATGAGATTGAGCGGTAATTTTAAAATTTGGTAACTTTATTGTGGAATTAAAACTATAAATGAATGATCGGTCTACAAGAGTAAACTATAACAATAGAAAAATAATTATGTAATACAAAAATGACACATTGATTGAGAATGAAAAAATATAAACATAATGAAAACTATATTATAATTTAATTTTATTGTCTACTATAAATTTAACTAGTTTTTTAATAAATGGGTTAAATACAAGGGCTAATAAACATTTGGTGTTAACTAAGCGGTGAATTTGAGGAGGGGTTATATCATGTAGAGAATATTTCAATTTGGGACAATTAAAGAGAATATGATCAGTGGAACCCTCGTAGATGAAATATAGTGAGAGTCTGTGAGTTGTGACATAAACGTCACATCACTCAAATCTGATAGATTTGTTGTTTGACGCAAAATATTTGAAAATTATTTTGTAATTTGTATTAAAATCATAACAGTCTAATATTATAATACGTTATTTGCAATGAGTGAAAAAAGAGATTACTAATTACTTCTAAATTTTTAATTATGTCGGCTCGCAATTATATCTTATCTGCTCGTGAAAGGAATATTAATAAACTCATTGATTATTTGCCGCAAATAAATCAACAAAAACTTGGATATCGTTCAGGGCAAGAATTACCGGCTCTTTCAGCAAATGCTACAGGCTTAGTTAACCGAAACTTGATATACTCATATAAAATACCTCCTTATGCAGATGATATCTTAGAGAGGGCCAGTACTCCATTTTCTGATTTTTTTTCAGAAAGCGAGACAGGTAAATATATTGTGGTGTTTATATCTTATGGTACGTTATTATACTTATTTTAATAATAATTTAAAGCAAATTTTTTATTGCCAGCTTAGATTAATAAACATGAGATTGCCTAGTTGATCAGATATATGTAATTTAAATCATACTATCAGATTGTAATATAACTCAAACTTACCTTTTCGTATAATCTTTATAGTAGCTTTAAAGTATGAGGTTTACCTTATATTTTATGTTACTATAAAGTTATTTCTATCCTATAGAAATATGTGACAATAGTTTTTATATATGTTTAGGCACACCTGATTTTCGAAGTGAAGAAAGTGACAGTAGTTCTGGTTCAGCATTTAAAAGAAACACAGCAGAGGCTACAAAAACATTAATGCAGGAATGGGAACAAATTGAACGAACTCTGTATGATGAAGATGGAGAAAAAAGCAATAGGCCCCAGATTCTTGAAGAATGTAGGCAATGGAGGCAATTGCATCCTCAGCTTAGGTAAATAACAAACTTTAATATATATATTTTTAGTCTAGTCAAAGTAGACATGTCAAAGTGCAAAATTTCCCATAGAGCTGAATATTGGTATCAATGTTCGGAACACCATTATAAATGAAATGTAAAAAGTCCCCATCAATCCCATACGTATAATGGCTCAAGTGTACATGAAATACAAGTGCTATCTCCTATACGTTCCACTCTTAAAGTCCCATCGGACGGTTTCATTACTTGCAGTGAGAAATCATGTACAGGATCGATTTTACTTAGCTGTATGTATTATCTAAGTTACAACGGTGAAATATCGCCAGTTTCCATACTCTGGAATTTATTATTGTTACTTTCTGGACAAAAATCCAATAACGATACTTAGCCTGATCTAGGGCTCGTACTCAGGACTCCGGATCTGCAGTCCTCTGAAGGAAAACAGTAGCTAGCATGTACAGCTACTGTTCTCCGTCATAGTTATTTTGCTGTATACGACTATCGGTGATAGGAGCTGTCTTCTATAGGTATCACAAGTACTTGAACATGTAAAACTATTTTCAGAGTTATTGGAAAAGCCATACCTTTACCAGAAAAAAGAATATGTTACAGACAAATGGAACATGATGAAGTGATCGCGATGCATTATAGCGATTATGAACAATTCAGCGAAAGTGAAGAAAGATTATCACAAAGTAGCACAGACGTCACTCCTCAGAATTCCCCACGAGTTTCCATTATCGAGGATATATATGAACCAAAGCTAACCAGAGAGAAAGTTTCCTTCAAGCTGGCAGATGACTTAGACTTACCAGATACATTCTGCTCACTTTTGCACATAACACCAATTCAAATACGAAGTCCTTCACACAGAAAACGACACAATCCGTCAGTACTTAGATCTGACTTAGCATCATCAAGATGGATGAGAAAGAGACCAGAGTCTTCTATACACTGTGAGAGAAATAGTGCAAAATCCTTCGTCTCTCTAGACACTCGTAATTATATCGCAGCGGACAATAATAAGGTGTTAAAGGCAAGAGTACTAACGGCAAGGCATAGAGAGCTGGCCAAGCTTGAGCCTTTATATACACCGGAATATCCACCACATGAAGGTTCGAGATTGCATAACGGATTACAACACTTCAATATAAGAAAAGTTTCTCTTCCCCCGTTACTTCTAGAAGAGGAAAGAAGGAAGGTTTCCGTTAGCTCTGCTAAGAAGGTGTCAAGATCAAAGAAAACACCTAAAGGATATAAAAGACAAAGTTAAACATGGATAGAATAAACACAGAACAAAGTTGCAAACAAAGATTGCTATGAGAATATGATTTTAATTTCAATTTTAATTCGATCTTTCGATCTTCGATCTTTGTTATATGAAGGGAGTGTGGTGAGAATTTGTATTCGCATCCTTTCATAAATTATATAATACTAGCTTAAAAAAAATCTATCCCACGGGAACCGTATATTATTTCGGGATACAATGAGTAACCTATGTGCCATTCAAATCCATCATGTACACATTCAAATTTTCGCATTTATATTATAAATTAATGGGATTAAAATTAAAAGGCTCCATGCCTTTTAAAAGATTACTTCATATAATATCATTAAATGTAATAAATGTGTTTTGCTGTAGGTAAGTTCCAGTCCGTCCAAAGGTTACGTTTTTACTAAGAGATTATGTATAATTCCATAAGGTCGTATTTTAAATTGTATATCGTGATGTTACTGTGAAAAATGTTTGTAATAAAATAATAAATATTTACATGTTAAATAGTTTTTTTTTATTTTGTTTACATATTCGAGAAAATGTTAATAATTTTAAGTTGTTTCTTTTTATTAAAAAAAATTTTTTTTTCAAAAGTACCTAGATACTATAATAAAGCAGTAAGTTAGCGAAATCTGTACATGAAATATTTTTTTAATACGATGACTAAGGTATTATGTACACAATATAGACCCTAAAACAATAGTTATTAAAATTTATGTCCGTTTGTCTGTTTATGGCACGTACATCACGCAAAAAGTAATAAACCTATTTTAACCAAATTTGGTGAACTATTAACTTATTATTAGTCGGGTCAACATTTAGGATACCTTTTAATTCAGGAAAATATCTCTTTCCCGCGGGAAAACAATATTTAGTTCTATCGAGTCGTCCTTATGGCTAACACTCGCTAAACCTTGAGACACATCAAAACTATGTATTAGAAAATTGTAGGTGTAGGTCTACAGAAAAGTCCGCAATAGTATATGTCTATCTCGGAACACTGGCAATATCTATTTTTATTATGTATTATTATTTATTACCTATATTAAAGGCAATGTCGCGACTCACTGACTGACTTATCAACGTTCAGCCCAAACCGATTATGATAGACCAACACCAAAAAAAAGCAAGCTTTATATATCTATACTATTATTAAATGCAATTCGACAGTAGGTACTCTGTCTGTCTGTCACCTTGTCACGCTTAATCCGCTGAACAGATTTAGATGAAATTTGCTATGGAAATAGTTTGAGAGGCTGGGAATTACATAAGATAGTTATCATCCCGGACAACGTATCATATGTAAATTTATTATATACGGTAATATATGATATATATTACCGTATATAATAAATTTACAGCTTCAAGGACCAGTATATAAGATGGCGATAAAGAAAACACGTTTTCAAATACAAATACAGAATTTATTTTGATATTTACATTATTTGCATTTTATTAACAATCAACATCAACAATATTAAATAATTTGTTCTTGTGGTGTGATACATTTCGAACAGTCGGGGTAATATTACATCTCCCGAGTTGTGCAGTCGTTTCGCTTTTAGTGCACACAGCAACATTTCCAGCTACAAATTATAACAAGCCAGTATATACTCTATATATTTATCCGTAAGAGCTATATTTCCTTAAATTTTGGCAGTTTGTATGGGAAGTGTTGCTATCGTACAAGTGCCGAGGCTTATGTAATATTACGTGATTATGGCAACACACAAAATTTGACTCGCTAATCAGGTCTCTAGTAAACACTGTTACTATAAAATCGATTTATTCCGCCGTATCGATTTTAAAGTGTCAGCAATTGGTCTAAGGTAAGATACAAGTTTCCACAAGATTAAAAATCTTTCGTTGCTGTATAAATAATGATTACACGTGACCCATTTAGCGAGAGAGTATGCAGTTTCGAGGAAACTTGTATAATCCTTAATAAGCGTTTCGTTTTTATATCCGTTCGCAAATATGGTGATATAATTTTAAAATGGTTGTCTAGAAGCAGTGAAATATGGGGGTTACGATATGAGAAATTTGAGCAACTGCGAAGAAAGCTGTGAGCTTGAGTTCCTGGGCTGCCATGAGAGAATCGGTATTATATATTAACAATACAACGAATACAAACCGCTATGAACTAGAATCGACGTATATTCCAGGCTATCAAATAAAATATATAAATGTGTACAATTATGGAAAATAAAATAACATTTGAAACATAATAATGGCAACCCGCGACGTAAATGGCGGTATCGGGCCAAAATGTGGTCAAATTATGGACATCGTTCTGACTCAGCACTGGCGTTTGCGGATTTTATAAACGACATTAGACATAGATAAAGCATTTAATATATTTCTTATAATCTAAAATTCATAAGTGGCTAAATATAGGCTTAGGTTTTATCGATCATATTAAACTTTTAGGCAGTCTAGGTTTGCTCTTGGACGCCTAACACTAACACCAGCAAACGTCAGTGCCAATGCAAAACAAAAGGACTACATCGTCGGACCGTCACAGCGACAGCGATCTCTTCTTACTATTTTTTATATTTCCATTTACACAATATAAATTTAAATTGTTATATTTACCTCACAGCCATCATTATATATTGATTCTACTTTAATTAAGAGAGGACTATGCGTATAACAACACGACAAGATGGCATCAGCTTACAAAAAGGGTCTAGCGTATATTCGTAATATAGAGCGTTAAGATTTTAAATACGTATATAATACATAAAAAATTCATCATTCTGTTCTAAAAACGTTAACAACCTCAAGCTATTAGCAATAGTCAACAATGGTGTTAATTCTAGGGTTTTAATTCACACTGAACATGGAACCTAGATGCAGAATACGAGTTATTGTTACATACTCATAAATTGCTTGAAATTATCGCGAGGACTGACGGCTGACACCAGACAGTACTCAGGAACATGATGTTCAAATTTTTCAAATATAGATGCCTACTACATATTGAAGTATCGCGAGTTCAATTCTTCGCCATACACTTATTCTTTGTGCGTGCTGCACAATGTACAATGTGAGTTTTCATAACGAAAATAATACTAAGTTAGATATTAAATGTAATAAAGATCCGATTTGTACTACCTTGTCTATATTAAATTTCTGTACATTTAAAATTATACTAATAACCCTTTGTAACCCTTGGTAATCCATTAACAAATGGATAACTACCTAATAATTAACTATTTTCGCTAGCTTTTAACCGGTAACTGGATATACAAGGCATCTATTGATATGGCATATAACGACAAGCGCAATTTTAGTTATAGTAAAGAGATACTACAGTATTACCTACTAAAACCAAAAAATTGTCTATGTTTGGAAATGTTACAAATCGGATCGTTTCAGGTTAAATTATAAGACAGTATAGACGTAGGTCACGTTCAAGTCAATCTGGAAGTAGTGAACTCATGGCATACATGCATGGCATTCGATTCATTAAGTACGATAACATTACACCTCAAGCAACCACACGCAGAAGGACTCAGCTATATTCTCTCTCGTTAAGGCGATTACAATTAGACACTATTTAAATTGCACACTGATCCACCTCTATAAACTTTTAATTGCGATAAATATTTGTAATGCTGTATAAAAATATTAAAGGAAAAAATCGTCATTTAATATTACCCTTAGTTGTAACATTTATAATTAGTCCAAAATACCTATTAGCGTGTATTTTACATTTTTACAATGAGACGTTCGAACTCTAAACCTAACTAGCATACAGTGACATAGAAGCCTAATTCACAACAAACTACACACGACAGTATCGAATATAAACTTTAAAGCAGCCGTAGCCATCTATTTTTAATGCAAAGGAGGTTTTATTTTGAAAAATTCTTACGTAACATACAAAATTACATTTGACTATTTACAAAGAACTAGTAATGTTAAATAGAATATCGAGCATAGCTGGAGGCGGTACTCTAACCGTTAGTTAGGCATGCATGGCTGTCTACTCCAATGAAAACTAAAACTGTTTGGATTTTTTTATAATGTGACTCGAGGCAGCTGTTTTAGTAAGACCCTAAATCCAGCAAAGGTTTTATTTGGGAAGATAGCAGTTCTAATACAATGTTCATACTCTTTTAGAAACTGCCACTGTGCAAATACCTAACTCTTCAAAGGAGTTTCCATTGAGATCATGAACTCATTTTTCTAAATTGAACACTCGTAGTTCATGATGCTATTGAAATAATATTTGAAGCCATCCCTTGGCATCTATACATTTAAGTAAAAATAATATCTGGACAGACCAATTACATGATTATTAAATATCTATCGTGCACAACCATCTCATGATTTAGAAATTTTAACGTTCGTTAAACATACATATGTCCGTCCGTACATCGTTGACTATGTAGTACATTAATTCGCGTATTTATCTCCTATATTTTGAGAAATTGTGTAATTAATTTTACTGAACTTGTGTAAGTGCAGATATGAATAAACACATCACGATTAATTTAAAAATTGTTAAGAAACAATAAAGATGGAATATTAAAATTACGGTAGAATATAAATTTAGCAAAGCATTATTAGTTAAATCCGTTAACACGACACTTTTTCGGCATCATTTAGAAGTTTTTTTTTTTTACTTTATCAGAAATTCGGGATTTCGATTAAGATTTTCAACTGTTTAATAGAAACTACACTCGTTCATAAATTGATTTATATTCACACTTGTCCCTTCATAACGCTTTCAAGAATACTACATTTCGTTTCCGAATTTGTACTTTACCTAAAAATTTACATGATATGGGCTATGGTACAAAGTTATGGCAGTATGTATGCTCAATTCCATTACGAATTACTTGTTTTATATTTCGTTTGGACCGAGTTCAATTACAAGATTGTCATACCTTCCCAGAACAAAGTAGCACTAGAAGAAGTTAGCTCCACTAAACTTTAATTTTGCTGATTTTTAAAGACTATCATCTTGAAATGCTACTTTATTTGAAAACGGTAAGGAAAAATGTTAATCTTTCATATAAATAAAGATTGTGTTACTTATCCTAATATAATGCTGTAATAACCAAAACATTTGGTGAAAAGAAATTTTCTGATAAACTATATTTATTTAAATACACTTTAAAGGTTTTCAAATTGGCAGAATAATGTATATTTCATTAATACTTTCATTTTACTAATTTGGACATTTTCCAGTTCACCTCATGTTTATGGCTTGAGGTCCACACAGATAACAACAAATAACTAATATAATACATACAAAGAAATCAAAACAAGTCATCTACGAGCTGTAAATGATAACATGACAATTTATTCAAATGTAGATATCGTTGTCAAGATTACTGTTTAGAATTTCATCGATGGCGTCTGTCTGTATGAACCCTTTGGACTATTTACAGGATGTTTGACAAATGACATTGATATTATTAATTTTTAACAATTCAAACATTTAATAGCATTAGTTGAGGTATTTAATTCGTTTACATCTAATGGTGTGGTGTTACGTGTTACGTTGCGTGCTCCATCGAGAAGCTGCGTCTAATCTAAAAACCTATAGATAAACCGTACTCTTCATCAAACATCTTGTAGTTTAGTAATAAATTATTGCATTACGTTCGATCACTAGATGACGTTCTATATATGACACTAATAACGGTGAGGCAAGTCCGACTAAATTAGTAAATTCTAAAAAAGGAACTCTAATTAACTGCCCGGTATATTAAGTATTAATTTAGGTTAGAATTTGTTGAGCGCAGTTAATTAAAGCTACGCCTTATCTAATACAATAAACTATGAGAGTCCACAATCGTCAAAGCACCCGGAGTTAATTCTAAATACATCGCAGGCTTCAAAAGCCATATTTATAACAACGTTTTTGAAAATAATATCACACATTAATAGCGAAATAACACTTTCACTCAGCTTCGCACTCAGCTAGGTATAACCCATTGGATCGAACATTCTCGCAATGGCAACTTGTATTTTTTTTTATATAATTTGTTTAAGTTCTCATATTTATTGTGCAGCGCCGCAAACCACGTCCTTTGACAATCCCCCGCCCTATTGTAGGAAATAAAAAAACAAAAAAGAAAACAAAACTTTTTAAATTAATTTATTAAAAAAATAAACGAAAATTCTATAATAATGGTGAGGTTTCATAGAAGGTAAAAGTTGATATTTTCTGTATATCAGTAAGCCCTGGCCTCGGGGGGTACACAGAAAATATAAAAAATCACCTAACAACTACTCTACGATAATAATAATAATTAAAAAAAAACTAATAATTCAAATTAAAATAAAATAAAAAATATGAGCAATGGAACTGTATGCAGACTACCTTACCGTGCAAGAAGCGTGAAAGCCTTACAACTAAATGTAGAATTCAGTGTGAATTCAAAAATTTATGTAAATCGAGTCAACTTAAATAAAAAGGTGTATTATGTGAGTACAATATCGATCAGTCAATGAGTAAGTATATAAGAGATAATTGATATATAAATGCTTAAAATTACTACGTATTTAATATAAACATTAATGATGAGAAAATAATCTACTGATAAGGAATGGACAATCTAAAAGAAATCTAAAAGAATACGCAGTTACAATCTGTAGTTTAGCAGATGCAATTAAAAGTTTAAAAGGTTCCATTATATTGAGCAATGATTAGTGAAAGTCCGTTAAATTTGACACCTACCCTCTTTGATACTGTGTTTCTTCATACATGGATGTATACAGTCAAAATCCTATAACATGGCACGATCTAAACACGACTAACAATATATTGACACCGAAAGCTTTCTAACTATAATTTTGACATCTATACATCCATTTATGAGTGTGTCTGTACATCTTGTATTGTCCAGTAGTAAATAAGCGACACGGATCTTCTAGGTGCTTGATATGAATTGCAGTGCGGTGTCCGAGAAATGCCGTTGAAAATGAAACAGGAAGAGTTTGAAAGAGAAGTGAGTGAAGAAAGAGTGTTGAAGTGTTGGAAAATGGTGAATGGCGGACATTTAAGGATAACCAAAATAAAAAATCTAAAAAATCATATGACGTAATAGCAATGGCAGATTAACAAATAAGTTGAAAAGGTCAAGTTTTTTAATTACAAGATGGCAGTACGCATATAATATAATTCTCTATTCGACATTATTTGTTAATCTGTTATTGGTGTAACGGGACAAATGAAATTGGATGACAAACAAAAATTGATAATATCAAATAATATGGTAGGGATTGACAGTTTCTTGATAAGGTTGCCAGATCTCCGGGTGTTCTAAGACTCCTACGTGATTTTGTATAGTATGTAGTATATTCTTTATTTAATAAATTGTAAAAAATATACCGATCAGTACCGAAGTTGGTTAAAAAATTAATATCTGTGAACCTTGTATCAATTAGTATTTCTTTGCCAATTTATTATTTAAGATTGTCTATTATAGTTGTTTTGTTAGTGAATTTTGTTTACTGGTAACTCTGTAAATTTTAATAAATTTTCCGGTGTTACAAAAAGTTAGACGTCGTTTCTAAGATCTGGCAACCCAAATATTTAATTACGTAATCGAAGTATGACTGATCTGAATGTTTATTACTCCGAAAAATCTAATGACAATGATCGATATTGGATGGAGATGATGTCATATACATTGTACATAACGAAACGTTTCATTTGGCAACCCTTTCAAATAGGGGAAGAACACAAATACAGATCTGATCACTTCCAAACACGATTACTTATAACATTCGAAATCATTTGGCAAATGTAATATTGATCTGGCAACCTTGATCCGGAGAAATCAATATCAATTAGGGTATAGGGTGGTAGGGTCTTTATTAGGGTTTAGAGTAGGGTAGGGTTGTCGGGCTCGGGTCGCTGGGCCCCTATATATAGGAATAGGGCCCGTCTGTGAGGGCGCTGCACAGCAATAGTCAGGACGCGTCGTCTTTGCCCGCAGCTCGTCGGCTCGAGCGGTACTCCACGCCGGGGTCGAACTGCATTAGCACGAACACCTGGAAGGTTTGATATGTTTCCAAAAGATTAAACATATAGAAATATATCTACCTATCAGAGGCGAAGGGTAAAATTTTTGCAGAGGTAAGCCGTTCCAAAAAAAAACCACAAAAAACATTGATATACAATTTTTATATACGTTTTAATGCAAAAAGAAATAAAGCTATTATTATATATACGAGTATATATCAAAAAGAACATTTATATATTTAAAAATTTAAATATATGTAAAATTATAGCAAAATACATTTTAAGGTAAGACGTCTTGTAATTGTATGGAGCCTTCGCCACTGCTACCTATTAGTTCTTGATACATATCAAACATGGAGTAGTTAATTGAAAATTTAAAGTGTATTGGGTTATGTTTCTTCATGGGCCTTAGTTTAAATATCGGATATAATATTAAAATTAAAACCCAAATTATACTTATCATATATTGTTTTGTTTGTTATTATTGTAAATATTATGTACATACATTTTTATATGAAAATGTCCAACGGCCTATATATCTCATAAACTTAACAATGACACCTATTTCGTAATTAAATTGAGTTAACCAAAGCTCTTGCGAATTACATTTATATCGATCAAACTATCGATTTATTCATAGTAATAATTTTCGTTTTCACCGACTCCTATTACTCGTCAATATTTTCTAATCGCAATAAATCAAACATCCAAAACCAAGCCTGTTGACAGACCTCCATCTGTCAGACTTACCTGATCAGTAGGCAGCAAACAGAAGTCATCAGGCGGATTGGTGATAACATATCGTTTGCTACTAGCATCACAGCTGGAGGAAGTATCTCGGAAGCGGTAGAGACCGATGCAGAGCATTCCGTATGTACGTAGCGCCGCCACGAACAGGTCTCCATACTTGCCGGCCTCGCCGAACTGCGCTAGAGGCCCCTCGTATAGGGAGATCTGACCTACACGGCAGCGGTCTCTGTTGGGTTTGTTTACATAAAACAATGGAGTTTCATTTGAAAGAAAGATTTATTTCAATAATTGTCAATAGATGGCGTTACATTTATGTAGATCAAGTGTATAAGGACGGGGCTAGGATAGATAAAAAAATGTGTGTGTGTGTACTTATGTACGCACGTACGAAGTTATACTTCTTTGGTGGAACAGAACAAAAGTAGCTAAAGATTACATTCACGTGTGTTACAACTCTCTGTTTGTAAAAGGAATGCAGCTAACATCATCATGTCGCTATCAGCTAACTTCATCATGGCGCTTTTTGGCTGTCGGTGTGCGCGCGCATCGTAAAAAAAATTATTCTCATATTTTTTCCAAACGTGCCAAAAGAAGTACAAATTCAATAAGGTTGTTACCATAGATATAATAATACAAGTATAATATCTATGGTTGTTACAATAGATGGCGTAATATGTCCAAGAAGTGTGTAAGGGATGGGGAAACTAAATAAGAACTAGTTAATGTATATAGCGATCCTCGTAAAGTGCAGATCTTATATTATGATCGGATTAATTAATTATCGGCCAATATGTAGTTCATTTTAGTGTAAAGACTTGCAAATGGGCTTATAAAGATTTGGTTGGGTTACTTCTCAATTTTGACTGAACCCTTGCTTAAGTACCTAATTTTTTAAAATTTTGCAATCTGCGGGCTAGTATAACTAATATAGGACATTTAGATGATAAAATTAACTGGGAAAAATTCTAAGAGGTAATAGTATCTTTAGGATGAAATGTAATAAATACATGTGTTATTAATTTTAGGATTTTATTAGTACGTCAAAATCATCAATTTAGTAAATACTAGGTACTAAAGAAAAAAATCATTTTTTCGTATAAACGAATTTCGTACCTTCACCAAAAAAAAAGAAAAATCTTCAAAGTGAAAAAGCTCAGGCAGCTAAATTGAGAAAATTAATATAAATTAGTTTAATGAAGAGATAATATATAATAAAATAATAAACCTTCGTACCTATTAGCCAAGCTCTCTGGCGTGGAGTATCCCCCGCGCAGGCCCGCGCCCTCTGCCAGTATCAACTCGAGCTCGGGCGTCGCGCCGCCCGTTATCAACGACCGGATTAGTGTGAGGGCGTTCTGGTTGAAATATGTCTGGAATTTGGATTTGAGATATAATGTAAACCTCATAATGTATATACTTATATTCATATCTGACTTCTTTGATTCTTATATTTCTTCTCTGATTCGCCATACAAACTTTCATCCCCATTTTCACTCCCTTCAGAGATCATTCATTTCGTTCCGGGATAAAAAGTATCCTATGCACTTTCCAGGGTCTCAAACTATGTACGTAAATGCATGTATGTAAATACACAGAGTTTGTGTGAGCAAAGAGTGGGGTATCATCATGCAATACTGCAACTGGGTTCGATTCCGGTACAGAATAAGAGTGCCCTGTGGCTACTCGAGCACTTGTACACTATAATATCTCCTGGTGCTGGCTAGTCTGAGTGAGATTGGCCACTACCGAAATAGTTCAGAAAGACATTATAATACTTTCATAGACTTACGCGAATATTTGACATTATCTTTTCTATTTCGCGGATTTATATATATAGATTTTCGTTTCTAATGCTTTCAAAGATAGTTTTAATTAAAAAGACATATTAATTAAAAAGACAATAATTATATGACATAAAAAGACATATAATTTATATCAGTACTAGCAGAACCCGCGGCTTCGCTCGCGCTAAAACTACAAAAATATCTCTAAAAAGGTAGTTTTATACAAACTTTCATCTAGTCCGGTCAAATTAGCTCCATAAATAGGGGTAAAGCTACATTAATTCGCACCCAGCTCAAAATTGGCATGAATGTTGGGGGCCCTAGTACACACAATTTGTCAATTATCCACATCAATCCAACGTGTGCAAAAAAATTTAATCAAGGTCAAACGTTGCAAAAATCGGTTTTTTGAGTTTTCCAGCTAAACGGTAAGTTTTATTATGAAAATAGGTGAGACAAAAATTATTCATCATGCAATTATCTGTAAAAATTGGTTATACACTTTTTTTTCCTAAGAATCACCATTTCGGAGATATAGCGATGCAAAATGTTGAAAAAGTTGTGTTACTCATAATATATATGTCAATTATCGTTTTAAACGTTACAGAACGTTAATATAAGTAAAAATATTAGTTTTCGTGGCGTATACATACATACTATACAATTGTAAGAATATGAACTCGAAAAAGAACCCAGTCCCTCATTTTATATGACTGTACGGCCTTGAGCAACATCTGTCTGCTATTCAATTGTCCGTCCAAAAAATTCGCGTCCAAAAAAAATTACGTGCTTAGATAAGTTTCGATACTTATGTTTTGCTAAAAATACGCATAAAAAAAAAACAAGTACAACTAGCTTGTCTTCCTCCAACCTCTGCTTCTGCTCAGCAACATCTATTTCGGGTATATTATCAAGTTCAAGTATGGCTCGGTAATAAACTAAGCCCAGAAGACTGGGGTTGGAAGTTAATTGACAATATATTGGAACCAGTTAAGACTTTACTCCCTCCTGCACCGGAAAAACTCCTCAATTCAATTTTTTGCAATTGCAAAACGGGGTGTAATGCTAAATGCGGCTGTAAAAAAGTTGGGTTGTTTTGTTCATTAGCATGTATCAGTTGTCGAGGCCAATCGTGCTCCAATGTTCAATCACCAGTAGAAGAGGATTCTTACGATATATGCGAGGAGACATCTGATGCATCGCTCTTTGAACAATTTATTTGTACCCAGCAGGAAGAAGAAGAAGAACAAGACAGTATGGATTATGTTCCATTAGAAGAGTATCAATCAGACAAATAATTTTCTACAATTTAATACAATAGCTTTTAACTCAACAGAACCACAATAGATCGTGGAGTAGGCTTACTGGGGAAACCACGTGAAAAAAAACGCGCCATGTACACTACCTCACGGGTGGCGCGGAAACGTGTGCATATTATGAGTAACACAACTTTTTCAACATTTTGCATCGCTATATCTCCGAAATGGTGATTCTTAGGAAAAAAAGTGTATAACCAATTTTTACAGATAATTGCATGATGAATAATTTTTGTCTCACCTATTTTCATAATAAAACTTACCGTTTAGCTGGAAAACTCAAAAAACCGATTTTTGCAACGTTTGACCTTGATTAAATTTTTTTGCACACGTTGGATTGATGTGGATAATTGACAAATTGTGTGTACTAGGGCCCCCAACATTCATGCCAATTTTTAGCTGGGTGCGAATTAATGTAACCTTGAATGTCTATTTTGACCGGACTATACATTTTATTGAAGAGCATTGATACCAAGTTTCAAGTGATTTTGATGATACATATTTTTTTGGTCTATATTATAACGTGTTTTCCCGTGGGAATTAGATAATCTCCCGCGGTAAATAGTAGCATATGTCACTCTCCAACCCTCCAATTATCTTCACGCAAAAAATCACGCCAATCCCTCACGTCACTCCATTTCGACGTGAAAGAAGGACAAACAAACAAACACACTTTCACAATTATAATATTAAGTACGGACACATAAAGCTAAGTAATTGAGTATGTACTTACAGTGGACATGAGGGAGTCCAGCACGCTGACGGCGAAGGCGGTCCCGCAGGCGAAGGGCTGCGTGAGGTACAGCTCCGTGTCCGGGTCGTCGTCGTCGTCCTGGTCCAGGAACTGCACGTTGCTGTCGTTCACTAGCTCTGGAAGGGTGATAATATAACGCATATCAATGAACTTAAGTTTATAAGTTTGATTTTTAAAATACTATTTAAAGAAAACTATCTTTTCGGATTTTTTCGCGAATTTATTTTGATTTTTGATTCCAAATTAAAGGGAACCAAAAATCAAAATGAAATCGCGAAAAAATTTGAAAATATAGTTTTATTTAAAATATCAAATATTCGCGTAAATCTAAGAAAGTATTACTGTGTATAAAATGGATTTTATAAAGTATTTTTGATTTCAAACAGTTTTAGTGTTGAGGTTATTATTGGAGCAATCAACAACCATCGTCTTCAATCATTAATAAATATATGTTCATACAAAATACCCGAAATCAAAATCAGTCCCCACCACCAAAAAAGTTCTCTTCCATCCTAAAAGGTGGAATTATTATTGAAATTTATATGATACCACTTCGTCAACAAACATATGAAAACCGAATCATAATAGACATAAAAAGGGCAATCACAATAAAATTTATTTGCAACTTTACATAATTAGAAAATGCTATATCATTACTATAATACATTAAAATAAACAAACAAACACAGCAACACACCAGTAATCATGGGCATATTAGTCCCATACACCGACGGCGACGCTACAGCAACACGGGCGCGGGCCCAACGGTCGCCGATATAATACATTCAAATAAAGGAATAAACCAACAGACGAACAAACGAACCAGTGATCATGGGCACATTGGCCCCGTACACGGAGCCGCGGCGCTGCAGCAGCACGGGCGCGGGCCCGACGGGCGCCGCGTGGTTGCCGCTGAGCACTCCGATGGTGTCGTCGAACGTCATCGCCTTGATGTTCAACGAAGCCAATATAGCTTCCTTGTCGGCCAGCGTCGGGTCATCGTTGGATGGCACCTTCGCTGACAGTATACAGCACATGTCGCATAGGTTCACGTTCACTGCACGCAAGTCGGCCCGGCTTAGCGGTGAACCCTATGTCATGGGCAATATTAAATCTATTATATATTAATAATACTTACATAATACATACTAATAATTTACTTCAAACTAACATATGGTAGAGAAAATATGAGTTCATATTGGATCTATAGTTAGCTGTTTGTAATGTTGAAATAAAAGCTTTTTACTAAATGCATATGATATTATATACGTTACTGATAAGAAAAACACATTTTTTAAAATGTCTGTCTGTCTGTCTGTCCGTTTTGTTTTGACTAATCTCCGCAATGGCTGGACTGATTTTGACGGGACTATCACTGGCAAATAGTTGATGTTATAAGGAATAACTTAGGCTACTTTTATTTAAGAAAAAGAAATAGTTCGCTCAAAAAAATAGTTCGGTAGTTCATAATAGTTGGTTTAAAATGACTTTAAAAGTAATTTTGCCTCTAGAGGTAGAATTCTTGTTGACTTTTAAATGGCGAATTTATAGCGTAACATCCACAAGAAAATATGTTATGTACATCTATATTGAGTAATTCCTTCTTTGTTGAAGTCGGTCAAAAATGTAGGTGTATAGAATATTTTTAATAGAATCAGGCGGCATTCATTGTATTAAAGATTATTTATACATATGTTTGGTAATTATTCTAATTATTAATATGAAAACTAGCATGACCAGCATTGGGGATTTAAAAAGTGCTGAATACACTATAAAAATATAATAAGTCCAAGTTCATACAGTAGTCATAAACATTATCTGTATTTTTCAACGTTTTTAACTTTTCGACTGAGTAGCCATGGGAAGAAGATATTTTGGCACTCAGGACTTAAGATTTTAGACCCATGTCGTGTCATATAGTGTCATGAAATAAAATAAAGTAACATTCTAATATACAACATAAAAAAATATAATATTGCAAAATATTAAATATTTACTGAGAAGTATCAAATCAAATCATAACCAACTCACATTCAATACGGAGATCTTAGGTAGATTTTGTAACATTTTCCATTCCCTTCTAATATAATCGACGCTACCAACAATAACTACGTGTTTCAGCTCGTGGTAGTGAAAGTTGGAGGCTCTGAGCGGCATCACTAAGTTCCTGAGACCTATTAGTGGAGAGTCCGGGTCCGCGAATAGACACACGACGACGTGACCGTTCAGCACCGTCATGGCCGCTTGGTTTCTGTCCTGTTGATATAAACAAATAACAATATGTTATCAGTATATGTTTTAGTTTCCCGTAGTATTGAGGTTGTGTTGTGTCTAGTAAAGTTATATTATAATTCATGAACATTTTGCCAAAAACTAACCGACGCGACAAGATAATCAATATTATAAATTCAAGTATTTAGGGATGCACCCGAGTGAAACGAATATTTATACAAAGGTTTCACAGGCATTATCTCGGACTTTCAAATCCTGTTGAAACATTAAATTTTGTACAAATATTATTGTTTTAATCAATAGCTGTAAGATTAAGGAAATTATTGAATGTAAAAAAAATAAATATTTTTTATTATAATATATAAATAGATCATAACTTTAAAATTCTTAACTATATACTGTAATGATTTCACGTTTGTCACTTATGTATATAATACGTACTAATATACAATCTTCTAGATTTCTCGCTGGACTCCAATGGAACATCCCCGTGGAGTCATATTTCATTTCAGTCTTTTCGAAGTCGAAGTCTTTCGACTGGTCGTCAGCCAGGCCGGCTGGCAAACTGACGCCATTGCTGTTTTGATTGCCACCACTACTCCTACTCGTTGGCCTAAATTAAAAAAAAAATATATATTTGACATTTCCATTTCCCGCCATTTATTGACGCGTGCTTTGTACACTGTGCGTGATTCAAAAGTTTATTCGTGTGCGATTTTAAAATATTGCTTTATTCAATTATTTGGTGATATTTTAGTGGTTTATTTATGTTTTCTGTAGGAAAGTTTAAAGTAAAAAACATAAAATCAATACACAAAGTAAGTAATAATTATATCGACAATAACTTTTGTTGATATATCGTAGGTGGCGTATATTCATATCAGCAATATCTATAATTATTTTTACTTAGTGTATTAATTATATGAAATAAGAGTATAAATAATTATAAGTAGTATATATTAAATCATATAAATATATAGCAAATTATATAATAACTGCAGAATGCTAATTTCACAATTAGTGACTACGTAACAGAATGTGTCTAACATTTCATTCCGCATACGAAGACTTACAAAATATATGGAAAAAAATGTGCCGTGCTTATAATAAAACATAAAAATAAAATGATAATAAAAAAGAAAAACATTTTACAACTACAAGAGATTTGAGGAAACAACTTCTACACTACGCATAGCCGGTCACTACAAAGTACATACAAACTGAAAAGGAAAGTTCAACGTTAAAACTACAGATACAAAATATCTAGGTGATATATAATTTTATAGAATTACATGAGTTTTTTCACTTCGTAGGCTAGATGGTAGGCTTGGTAATTCGTATCTTGGTCTTGCGTATTCCTGCAAACAGGGCCAGAGTTTCGTCTCCATAGTTTCGAGGAGTTGGAAAGTGCACACAATTGAAATTATCATAGACAGATAGATGTGCCGTGCATACATAGTGCACTTCGTGCTTAGCAGACATCGAATGCTTGTAAAAAGCAGCAATAATATTAATTCGATAGAAAAAACTGAATTTTTACAGGGTTTTTGGTTAGTTATATATTAGTTGAGTAGTTTAAATTCCTATTTAGAATATAGTGAGATGGAATTACCTAAGTATATATAAATATTTAGCTTTATTTACCTGTAGCAGAAAATTTAAAAAATAAGTAGGTAGTATATAAGCTCATCAAATGCTATTTTAATCTGTACAGTAATTTTTCAGTTAATAATTACACACGCCATTGAAAATTGAATTATTACCTTTATAATATATATACTAAAGTTATAAAAAATATAAAATATGAATATCAAGTCACCTGAAAACCTTGAAATCGACAAGAACACTGCGGTGAAACATTAAATATTAGGCAAATAAAACATTTACTACTTTGCTACGCTAATCACTTACGTGTCGGGCGGTGCCCTGTTAACGTTGGGTTTGACCTTGTTGACTTGCCTCGTGGTGTTCATGAGCTGGTTCGCCATAGGAGACAGTAGCGCGGTCGGCGCACTTCGGTGATTGCGATTTATTACTAGAAATAGGAGGGATATAATTCAGTTTTCATATGTCAAAAACGTCTAAAGTCGTAGGTTCGATTTCTATAATATTTGTCTTACTATTGCTATAAATGCGAAAGTTTGGATGGATGGATGTTTGTTACACAATTACGCCAGAACAGGTTAACGGATCTGGATGAAATTTGGCACAGATATAGATTGTAGTCTGGAATAGCACATTGATTACTTTTTATGCCCGAAAAATGTACGGTTCCACTGGGATATTTTTTTTTACATATCTACTCCATACATACCTACTATTATAATTAGAATCAGAAAAATAAATAAATTATACTCACAACTAATATCTTCACCTCTCTCTCTAGCGATTTCACCTTGAACAATAAACCAAAATAAGATGATTAATAATATTTCCGTAATTATTTCAATTATTTCATAATAAATGAATTTATCGTAAATATTATGCAATTTACAAAGGATTCTTCCAATCTACAACAAGAAGCTTTAATAGGGCATTCACAGGTTCAAAGAAACAAAGATGCATGAAAGGTTCGCAAGGCAAAGGGTACAAACCAGAAATTATGAAGTTCCGCTTTAGAGTTAACCAAGAAGCATACATAGATCAATGAAATCTTTTCAACCTGGATTCGTAAATGTGATGCAAAACAAAACTGTAGTTGGATCGTATTAAAAAGGTTTATAAACCCTAAATCTTTATGGGAATTTCGCTTGCAATAGCGATAGTTAGTCTATGCTGGGAACATGCCTGATGAAAGCAAGTCAGACCTCTCAATGGCTCCCAAATGCCATGTGCTTATGAAAAGGTGTGAAGCATCTAAGTGCAACTCGTTATACCTAAGCTGGCTTTTAAATGTGTGGACCGATGAATTAAAAGGAAAATAAAAATCACTCTGTTCTAGTCAATTTCATATGGATAATTCTGGGCGCAGTGTCATTTATATTGCTTTGAGAATCGTATTTTAACAATAAATATGTGTTCAATTAACGAAATGATCAATTTTTACATTAGGCAATTACTGTGTCGCAAAAATATCGTTACGTACATAATAATATAAGGCACTCATTAAGTAAAAAATCGAACACATACTTGTAAATCATTTGTTAAAACGGGACACCCAAAGTGTTTTATACAAACTTTGCGTCCACAACTGTCCATATAAAATCCATACCGTCAAATTCCTGTGTTGTTTAAAACTAAAAAAATAATAAGAAATCACTCAATCCCTTGGGATGTACCTCGAACATGGACCTTCTTGGGCAACTCTGGCGGCGTGAACGTGGGGGGAGGATGGTGGTCATCTGCAAAACATCAGCACAAGTTCGCATTCCGATACACCACTCAATACATAGAAACCTACACATCGCATGTACATTTACCGATTGTATGAATTTTGATGATACATTTAAAAATCGGCTTCACCTTAACAAATAAGCAAATATCTGAAGCTTTGTATTTAAAGTTGACAGGCATTAAGATTTTATTGGAAGTAGAAAAGCGTTCAAAGGTGAAACTGATGTTAGAAGACAAATTTACCATAAAAGAAAACATCAATATTATTATTTAAGTTATATTATATTAGGTTTAGTAATAAAACATTCACATGCAACACGCTACAACTAACAAACACAGACAACATTTAAACAAATACCAGACAAGCTTGGTGTGTAACTAAAAACTACGCTACTGTTACGAGTATTATTAGTTGTTTTAGGTAAATTTCTTTAATAATGAATATATGACTAATGTAAGTGGGAATGGAATGATATTTTAAGGGTGATTTCGGGAGATTTGAGCTTTCTAGTTGTCTAAAATTAACGATACTTCGAGCTCTAATAATGAGATTTTAAAATCTTACATAAAATACAGTAGCGTATACCAAATTTTCGACGGATCTGAGGCATTGATCAACCACAGCAAAGTCCTTATATTTCTATCGAGGCGGGGCCATCTAATTTTTAAATTAAACCTTTCCTATTGCAAGATGATGAGAATTAGAAAAATTTTGACGCAATTATATAAGCACGTAATAATAAAACTATAACGTTACAACAACCATTTCAGAGGGACTATATCGATGCAGTATTAGGGTTCAAATATACTCCTAAATAAACGTTTATTTTTACGATATTTAACATTAACAAGACCAAAATAAAATGACATCACAAATGTCTCTCTATATTTACGTCTAATAGAGAGGCGAAACATCTAACTGCTGTATGCACATAGATAACGTATACAAGACAATGATAACAGGACACGATATTGCTATAAGTTGGTGCGTGCGAGTTGCCACCACCGACACCGTACCGTAACACATCGACATTGGGCCGAGAATACACGGACTGCGAATTTGCAGTTGCATTGACTGCAAAATCGCGTTTGGCGAGCAGTCTATAGTTGAATCTTTTAGATTTAACAAAACCAAATAAATGAAGACTGCAATACGATAAATATCGACCAATCCGCAATTTTGCGATCAATATGATTACAATTCCGATGTCCACGTACTGCCACCCGTACATTGAAACGATTACAAGAGTTACGTACTTGCCCGGCCAACCATCTGGACGGCTCGTACGCCTTTCCTGAATGTAGCCACTGAATTAAGAAACAAACGTTTATAGCTTGTTAAATTACATGATTAAATCCTGTGTATATGAGGACATTTGGGTAGGAGTAAGGCTATAAAAGATATATATGTATATATTATATGCAGACAGAGATGCAAAGCTGGAATTACGGGTTTTCTTATTAGGTGACCAAGGTGTTTTACTTAGCTTTTGGTCACCAATATTCAGATAGTATTGCGTTAGAATTAATTTATACTTGTATGCTATTTTGGGATGTACACTCAAAATCTTAAAACTTTTTATAAGATTTTTATAATATGATAATGATTATTGGTACCCAAAAGCAATCTTACAATCCCTTTACGTTATACCCTATGATTGTACCACTGTAAAGCAATATCGCAGTTATTAACTGTGTAGTAGCTTCGCTAATTGCGTGTGGTTTTGGTGATAGATAGCATACTGTAGCCCAATTTCTGTTAGTTATGCAAGGAAATTTAGTACAGTGAAGTACGGTAAATGTGGCTTTACTCCGTACCGTCGACCCTTTGATACGTATTAACATTTTGTTTCACCATCCCCGTCTGCATCATCATCATTCCGACATCTGGAAAAATCCAAACACTGACAAATACGTAGGATCTCGACGGAATCGGGAATTTAATGTTCGATAGACTCAAATTTTTAATTTCCGAAATCAAAGAGGAGTTGGGTGCAAAATGAGTATGCCTGGGAAATTATAAATTTGAATCCACTAAATGCGCAGATGATATCACAATGAGTAGCGACCGTATCTCTGGACCGTGCGTTAGTTTCATTAGCACAGACAAGCTGGAACTGTTCTATGAAGCCTTTGTTGTTCCGAAGCTCACTCCCTATGAATTTTTAGCGCCTTTATATCACTCTGATCTTTCTGAGACATGCTTTCATGGATTGGCATTATAGACAGTGTTTAAACTAAGTGTTCGGGAAATGAAGGTGCCAGTTGCTTTGCGAAATTCAATTCTACTTCAATATCATGCATATGCCTGGGCTCTGAGTGCATCATATCAATTTATATCTACGCCTTCATTCGGTTCTAGGGTGTCAGAAAATCGTGGCCAAACAGTGTAGCTACATAAGTTTTGTTTTGCGATCGTGGTGTTTGTATACATTGAATGATGCACTGGACTCGAAATAAGGGGCGGGAAACTCTCAAGAGGCATAGAAATGATATCAGAGTGCTTTATTGTGTATCCATTCACGAGCAGACAAACACAATGAATGCTAATTCGAGCACGGATCAAGAACTTGCAGCCGATCCAGTCTGTGAGGTACGGACACCACTAAAGCAACTCAAAATTATATACACGAAAATAAATTGAAAAACTTCAATCTGTATGCTTATGTGTGGTGCAAGTTACCTATATCGGCTCCGACCTTCCGCTGGTGCGCGGTCACTAAAATTTTAGGCCGAATATATTAATTTCTCACATTTATAAAGAAAAACAGTGTGATACATCACGTCCTATGGTGTAATAGATGTGACATTATACATTAAGTGTGTATTAGTATTATACATACAGTGGTCTTAGAGACTCAACAAGTGTTACGATTCCAGAAAGAATGTCACAGAATTTTGTTATTGATTAAAGTAAAAAAATTAAGAAAATATATTTATTAATTAGCAAGAGATTTTACATTTTCCTTGGACTTAATTTTTTTAGTAGCTAAATAAGGCAAAGGTCTTACAATTTTTGCATTTGCATTTCTTGATGAGAGTCTCATCTTTGATGTCTTCGTGGCACGCTTTGCAATAGAACCAAGCCCTGAAGAAATTATAAAATATCATGATTTTAAATTTAATATACTTATACGCTGTGTTTAAGGTACTTTTAGTTTTAAAATATGGCATATCCTCATATGTATAATATACGAGAAAAGTTAAACCCATCCCGGTTTCGGATTTTGAACTTCTGTTTTAGTTATCATCGATTTTTATTGGGACTATCAAGAAATCAATCACAATTACTGTTGACATGACAAACAACCGTTTAACAAATATATGTAATAAGTAGAATGTTTTACCTTTGAAACCATTATATTATTACTAAAAACGATTAACCTAATAAATTATTTCTCACCTTTTAACCTCATCAGCAGATTGAGCAATGAAAAATCCCTGAGTGTTGGCGTGGATCTTCACGTTACGCGGGTTTATGGAGATCTTGCTGTCGGTACCCTCTTCACCTTTGATCTCGATCGCCAGTAACAGGAGCTTTAACTTCGTAAAACATAACCTAAAAGCGTATTACTTCATCGTATACCTTCATTTTTGCGAAAAAAAAACAGTACAACAATAAAAAAAATAGTAGCAAAGGAAGAAAATATAAACAAGATATTAGTAACTACATGTTAGATATAAAATCATGTATGAAAATCAAAATTTTGGATGAACAGTAAAAAGCTAAAAACTAAGCAAATCGGTCATCTTACTCGCTCGCTTGTGGAAAGCTCATTCCAGTGAAGGATGTGGACAGAGTTTCCGTGTACATTTCACAACCGGTACCCTGCAGGTAATCGTTCTGCCAAGCTTGCGTGTCGGGGGACTGCAATCAATTGTGACGCTAAGCTTCGTGCCGTGTTAGTCACAGCCAGGTTAACGTATCTAATATAGCACGGTGACACATGAGTCGTTTAAATACACAAATAGTTTCATCTATACTAATATTATGAAGAGGATTTTTTTGTTTGTTTGTATGTTTGTTTGTACCGAATAAGCTTCGAAACTACTAAACCGATTTAAATGAAATTCGGTAAGAAGAAGTTTGAGACCCTGGAAAGGACTATATCCTATATGGTCTTTATCCCGGAAATCATCCCTTAAGGGGATGGAAATGAAAATCAGGGAATCAATCTAGGGACGAACCCGAGGGAGGCGAAGCTGAGTCGGTATGATAACTATTTTCGCTAACTAGAAAGAATTTTTGGTCTTTAACGGGTATCAAATATCAATTGATGCTTTAATTATATTACAATAACGACTCGTAGACATTTTGATTTGACCAAATCGTTATTTAAGATAAATACTTTAAATTTATAGCTTCCGAATAATATTTTAAACCGTGCCAGAGAAAACGATGAATCGTTACATATCCGTATGGGAGATTTTCGTTTTTGTCGTTTTCTAACTAAATCATGAATCGGTATATGTAAGTAAACATTTATTTGTATTTAAAATAAACTCCTCTTAAAAACCATTCGTAACAAAATGTACCTACATACGGGTCATGTTCGTCACTTACGTTCTTAAAGCCAAATTATTTCAAACCACGCTCATGTGTCACCTTATTTATTAATTAACAATCACTTATGCCTATAATACAATATTAGTTATCTACATTGGGTTCCCTATCGTTATTCTAGACTAAGACCGGGGCATCTATAGTTATTGTGCCAACTATATCGGGGACTAGAACACGACCTAGAAGACTGTAAGCGGAGACGATAAGCTATTGAAGGTTAGTGATGTTCCTCGACATTGAACTGGTATTTGTTCAATAAGTCGTATTGGCTTTCAAACGATCCGTTGACTTACTCTGCAGCATGTTTGAATAGTAATCCAATAAAGGACGAACTCAATGTGTCTGTGTACATCTCCATTCCGGTGCCTCTTTTGTAGTCATTAGTCCATTTAGCTTTTCGTCGGGACTGCGAAAATTTCGCATACAATTTGTTAGATAAGAACATTCGCGGTATCACATTTGTACCAAAAACGAAATCTGCGAATTTTTAAATAAAATATTTTAAAAGGAGTGAAAATAAGCTGACCGTTTTGAAACTTCTCATAGCAAACAAATTGGCCATCATTGTGGAGAACCCTGGGGCGAGACAGCTTTGCGCGATAAAACCCAACTTCAGTTCTGCTAAGCAAATCACGTCGTCGCCTTGCTTCCAATCCCACGATGGTATGTTCAGGAGGTAGGCCTTGAATTTTAAAATGATAACGATTTAATTCGATTAGTAATACTTAAAAGATACAATGGTAAGAAAATGTATAAGCAAATAAAACAAACACAGATAAATACCTTGTTGTGATACTGCATTAGCTGTATAATAACTCTAATGTCGTCGGAGTAGTTCTTAATAGAGATGACTCTCATGATGTTCGCAGCATCTTCCGCATCTGGATCTTGGCAATACTTGTTGGCTAGTACCAAACACGCGTCTGCTTCGTGTACCTAATTTATTTTTTTGCATTTTAAATATAATTCTTTAAAGTTTATGATGATTTGACTTTTTATTAAAAAAAATGCTATAAAAGGTTAAAAAGTTATTACTTATTGATTGATAAAAAGTATTTTAACTTTTAGGAAAAGTATAGGTCTAATGATAAATACAAATTATTACTTTAATTTATAGTTAGCCTTATGGTTTGCAAAGTTGTGCGTAAGTCAAATTTAAAGTATAGATACATACCTAGCAATAATGAAAAAAGAAAATTCTAAATATAAGACTTATTTATTTTGAATATTCCCAAAATATTTTAAGTTATTAGTAATTTAACAATTGTGCTCGTTAAAATCAATACAAATTGTTTTAAAGACAGTTTACAACATAGACTATCGACATAAGCATGGAAAATATTGTAGCATACACTTAGATAAAGATTGACATACAAAAATGACTAATGCGAAAATTGCGTGAATTAAAGAAAAGGCATCGCATTAGTCATTGAGAGGAAGAAGCAGATGGATTCATACATAACATGCAGCTGTCGTTCGCATTCAAACCAAGCCATGCATCTAAACTTACCGTAAACACTCGACAATATCGACAATCGACATCTGTACTTCAATCTACTAAATCAAGCCAATTTTGAAACGGAAACTCTTTCGTCGGCAACCATTAATGCCAATTAGTTTTGAGCACTCTTTAAAAAGTTTGTTAGTACAATTAAATATCGATTGTTTAGAGTACACTTAGTGGCCAAACTCGCACACAACACCCAGTTTAGGTTTACAGACACATATCGGCCGCGTGGACCGGCTGGGGAGAGACGGTAACAACATTAGCGATAGGCACACAAACAGCCAAGTCATGGCATAAGAAGGGAACTGTACATCACTTGACGATAGAACGTCCTCTCGTAACAGTTATCGAACGAGCATCGCTCTACGTCTATATAAAAGACTGCACAGCTTCAAACCGACACCACGCCCAAATATCACATCTTCGTTTGTGCATCTACTTACTTTTACCCTTTGTAGGTCGATTGGATTCATAATGGTGCCTTGAAAGAATTCCACAGTTGTAAAGTGTCTCTTGAACAGGCCTTCGAGCTCCAGGTCGGGCGGTTTCCTGCCATCAACGCTCAGTTAACTTTACGAACCAGATTTAGGCCAACCCGCCGCCTGATTCGGCCGACGTTACCATGCAACTCTATATACCAAAATACGCGGTAGTGGAGTGGGACGGGAGCACCCTCTACTGGCCGAAAAGGAACTCCAGTCCCACCGGAAGCAATGATTGCGTTAAAATAACCACAAGATAAAATTACCAAAGTGATAAATCCTACTGTGACTATGAAACAGCATCTTTACAGAAGAAAAAGTTCCTTATGCATATAAATGAATAAAAAATACTGGTTCGATTAGACGCGTATCAATGATAAATAAGGGCCGTGCGGTATCTAATTGCCTGCGCTATTTCGTCTTACTCTAACCTTGACTCTCTCAAGGTCGACGGCATTCATCATTGTACCCTGAAAAAACTCGACGGTGGTGTAGTGACGTTTCAGGAGACCTTCCAGCTCTAGGTCAGGCTCCTTTCTGAAAGCGTCGTTTGACCATACATGATTCACCACCTAAAGACTCGTCAACTGCCGTTCAATAATATTTCAATATCATGTTATCAATAGCTTATTGTTTACGGACTCTTAAATTTTTATAAATAAACTAAAATAAAGATTATTCTCTCATTCTATTAAAATTAATGAGATGAAATGGAAAAACTAGTAATATTTTTTACCTGTGTAAAAAAACAACCTCAACGTCCACATCTTCCCGATCTTCGTGTAGGAAGTCTTTTAAGAAATGGCTCACTGATTCGTACGTTATATGTCCACATACGACTATATGCCTGAAATCGTAAAAATATATTATAGCAATCGTTCTGATTAGCATTTTGCATGTTCTACTATGAACTCATTACTTTATGAAGAAACAAAAGAAGCAGTTAAAGCTTTATTGTTTAACTTAGCCTTTATTATTCAAATTTTGTTCCAAATATTATCTTCATAAAATAGCATAAGTTTCAAATTCAAAGCTCAAATCGAATTATAGTATGCTTTATCTTTAAAAGTTTATTTAAAAAGCAAGTTTCACAAAAGCTAGTTCTTACAATCAAAAGATAGGAAGAAAGAAGTATAGCAATTTCAGGTTTTATTCAACATCTGCATCTCAAAGGAATGACAACACGACAAAAAAAAATTGAGGTATCAACAGAGTTAAATAAAACCATAAATGATCAAGCGTGATAGGACTACAAAAACAAAATCTTCATTCGAACTTAATACTGTGTCTGTTGAAATGAGTTATGTATATTTCAAAGTATGTATTTTGAAGTGTGACAGAAACGTTGATAAATGAAGACTTTGCTAGATTGTAACCTCCATAATTTACAATCAGCTTTGTTCATTAATTTGTGAGCATACTAAGTGCATATATATTAATTAGGTTTAATTTGGCTTATATGAAACTTTGGAAAATCGATTGATAATCGATTTTATAACACTAAGGCAATCACAAATCAATGAACAATCTCAGTTTCCTTCAGGATTTTGTGGCTATCTACCGCACTAAACACAAAATCAACCAAAAAACGCGGTAAAATGATTTCTTTTGAGATGACAACCACTATTACAAAATATTCAACATTCCCAAACTAAATTCGCGTTGTATTTGACAGTGTGATATTAGATATAACGTACTTTGCTATTTTCTCGAAATACTTTCAAAGTGAAAAAGTGACTTCAAGGTGAATGTCGTAGTGGTCTTAAATATAAATCTATAGGCAATATTTAGAATGTAGGTTACACGGTGGAGAATTTATTGTAATCTTTAAGTTAAATAATCATTTAGTAAATTCTAACTACATTCACAATTGCCTTTAGACAGTTTTAACTGGCTTTTAGATAAGGTAGGCGCGACGATACTTTAAAGCTTGCCTCTCCGTACAGTTCTTGAAAAAAAGGTAGCTTTTAGCTTTACGTCCAATAATCAACATTTTTTTTGTATTTGGTATGATATGGCTCAATTCTTTATAAGTTCGATTTTAAAGGTTCAGGCACGGCATGAGATTTGAGGGTGTGGGTGTGGATATATAGTAAAATGTAGAGACGATGATGGAAGTTTGTGAGTTAAATAATTTACAAAACGTAGAATACAGAAGAGCAGACCGTTAAAATTGGACAAACGTGAAAGAAAATTAGTACTCAGAAAGAAATAAAAATAGATCAATCCACAATACGTAAGCACAACATGCAGTCTATGTATTCATCTAAGGTGTGGCAAAGGAACTGATTTTTTTTTATCATAAAACGTAACAATCTACATTATGGCTGCATAAATTTGCAAACAATTTTTAAAAATCATTAATTCAAATTTTTGTATGAATGATTCGTGTATATTTTCTCTAGTATGATGTCAATCATGACTGATGGTATGCAGAGAACTAATCTAATTTGGCGTTAAAAATGTCCTCAATGCACACAGCCTTGCCACGCTCTATGAATTTATACGTTAAAATAAATTACACTAATAACCGAGGGGTCGACTCAAAAGTACATAACATATTAAAAAACATTAAGAGGGTCAACATTACGAGTACAATACATTTACATAAGACGTGCAGGCAGGGAAGTAGGTAGGTCGCAACAGCCCCGCAGCCCGGCCGGGGCGCGCGCTGCGTGGGCTGTCGACGGGAACACGACATACACGACAACTCCAACAACACACTACTGTACCACTCAACATTAACTCGCCGCAACTAAGCTTTACGTTACCATTAACATTCCTCATTACGTACGTACGTACACTAACAGAAATAAATAATGATACCTACGAGTATATGACGAGCGATTACACTAGCCACTATCTGCTGGTTTCTATTCAACTTTATCAATACCAATTTATAGTAATAATTTACAATCAATATCGACTCAAACATAGACAACGCGCGGGACTCGCGTCCCGCCAAAGATAAAGTGAGAACACAGAAGCGTGCTAAGAGAGGAAAAGGAAGATATAGATTTACAACACGGAACACATTCAACGGAACGGAGTGAAGACAGCGGCTCACCTGCGTCCCCGCTCATTCTTGAGGGTGCCGCCATACTTGGGTCTAGTGCCGATTAAGTCAATTATCTCTGGGATACAACTGGCAAATATCGCCTAAACGCCGACAGACAAAACAAGACATTCACATTCAAGTCAAGTGAAGGCGCGGAACGGAGCCGTCGGCGGGACGGCTCCGTTGCGCGCGCGCGTCGGTCGGGCGCAGAGCGCGGGGGGGCGCGGCACTGGCTGTGTGTGACTCGGGACTCGTGGCGAGGTGCCGGAGCTAGCGCTACAGCGTGGCGACAGGCATCGTGTGCAAGCGAACAAACCAAACACTACTTCATCGACAGCATTACAAAACATCGGCTCTCTTCACATCTAGTCTCGTTAGAAGGATTAAAAAGCTCAATGGTATCTCGAGTGTATTTTACGAAAAAAGGCATGTAGTAGTGCGTCGGTCGACCGCGCGCCTGTCTCTCTTATACGGGGAGAGGGGCGCGGCCGCCGGGAGCTAACTCTTCGAGCATGCGCCACGGCACCGAGAGACCGATTCTAGTGAAGGATTAATAAATTTCATTAGCAAACTCCGCATTCAATCAACCAAGTCAGATCGAAACCGTGAGAAAGCCTGTGGAGCGGGGGCGTGAGAGCAGGGTACCTGCGGCGGACGTCCTTGTTGTACCGGCCGCCGTATTTGTTCCGCTGCGCCGCCAGCTCGGTTATCTCGGGGATCCAGCTGGCGAACACAGCCTACGATACACAGCAAACACCGTGAGGTGAGCGATGGCCCCCCCGCGCGCCCGCCCCCCCGGCCCGCCCCGGCCCGCGGCCGTGAACCCTCGCGCTCGCACAAGGCTGTGTGGCTTGAGTGTCGTCTGTCTGCGTGTGGCTGTGGCGTGGTGTGGACGTGCGGGACTTGGGTGCCGTGCCGAGCTACGCTAGGGAGCTACGTACAAGCCGTGACGGGACTCGACCGCGAGGTCAGGTGCATGCGAGGCGAAACGTACGCTAATCGATGAAACAGAACTTAAAAAGAAATAACTTCGCCGGTGACTAGACTAATAATGGATATAGACGCATGGTAGTCCGCGCACACGAGCCGACCGTCCCGGACGGCCGCCGGGCGAGGCCCGCCCCGGCGCCACACGGCGGGACGCGTGGCGCGGGGCGCGACGCCGCCCGCCGCCGCCCGCGGGGCCGCCGGGTGTGCGCGAGTAGATAACACAATACATCTGACGGCACTGAGCAAGCTTTGTAGAGGTGAATCAACATCGCGGAGAGTTCGAGCGAGTCAGCCCGGACGCGGCCGACGCGGGACGCGCGCGTCTCGGACTGAGTCGCTTTCGCTCTCAATGTATACATCAAATTTATACCTTTTTCCATGTTCACGCTTCAGCTCGCCACTGTACTTGGACCTACTCCCTACCAGCTCTATAATTTCGGGAATGCTACTAGCGAACATTGCCTGCAACAGACCATGGTGTCGAATAAGACTGCGATCACCATCGTGTGGTGCACGACAATGTACCGGTAAGACTATGGTGAAATAGCGAATAGCGGAGCGAAAGTAACATAAGGGGAGGTGTGTGTCTACAGTGATGTGAGCAACTGAACACAGCCAGGCACAGGTGCGCATGCAGTCTCGCGGGGTGGGATGGGAGGGACGCGCGCGCGGGCACACGGCGCGCGAGGGCCGCTGCTGCCGCCTGCCGCCCGACCGCGGCCAGCCGGGACCTGGCGCGGACGCGGTACGCTACGTCCGAAAGCTTGTCGACGGATCCTCTGGCAGCACATTGGTTACACATAACAAAGCAAAAGAAAAAGAAAACATTCATGCAATTAAAATTGTTTCGAAGCTCGTTTCGATAGATCCTTTGAAAGCGGGAAGTTAGTTGCACATTTAACGGCGACGGCGGGACCGCTGTTGTTGCGTCTCCGCCGAGTTAACTTGGCATGCTCTAGTGAGTGCACTACTCAGGCTTACGGTCATTCAACGAGCTGTGCTTGAAACCAGTAAGTACAGATCTCTACCAAGTCCCATGTGAGCTCTATCAAGGTAATCTTATGGCAAGAATCGTTATATTTCCTTTTGCTTTGTTATTTAGAAGGGCTTTATGCAAGGAATAGCAAGCGTGACGCGATACTATATGTAATCTGATGTAACATCATCAGAAAATAGTTACCGGTAGCTTTTAAGGAATTAAACTTGCCTCTCCTTGCAAATTAAAACTTAAGTAAGTTTTGTGAATTTAAATTTATTTAGAATAGAACATATTTACGATTAATATAGAGAAATATGGGAATGAAACTTACCAAGCCGACGAGGAGAAAAAAAACCAAAAATGTTCTGCCTAGAACAGTGTGACAGAACACATCACCGTAACCTACAGTGGACATGGTGACTATAAGAAAGTACACGCAAGTCCAATACGACAATGATTGCGCATTGTCAAACTCCAGTGGATCACCAGAATTTTCCAACTGGAAGAAAATAATACAAATATTGTTATTTTTATGTTATATTTTATTGGTGATTTCTGAAGACGAATGAAGAGATCGGCTTTTAAATAATCACATTGAATACCATTATTTTACTATCTATTAATGGTACAACACGTTTCCACGATAATTATTAGGCAACTCACTAAATGAATAATGCCGGCTGCTGTGAGCCACACCGATATAAAGATAGATACTAATTGCGCCAAACGAATTGAGCTCGATGTCTTTAATATATTGAGGTACTGCAAAATATCAGGCACGGTCATTAAGCGTAGAGCTCGGAGAAACCTTAGCCCTGGAAACGAATAAAATATAATTATAAAATAATTATAAAGGAGAATATGTACAAAATTAATTTACTTTATACATAGATAAAACTCAGCGAGAATACAATGAAAGTAAATGAAGGGTACAGGCATAGAAATGGAATGTCACAATTTTTGTTTTTTTTTTTTTGTTTTTTACTGTTACCAAATCTATGTCTGTGGTAGTTGTATTTCTAACCACTGGTTTTACAAATACTTAAAGGATGTCCCTAAAAATACGTTTTTATCTATGCCCAAAAGCGAAAAGATCTGGGAATTTCCATGACATACTGGTAAAGAGTTACTGCATACTTTGATGTCAATAAAAATATTATGATTTCTAAACTTTAAATTGCCTTGTTTCTTATAATCCATTCATTAGGACACTCCCTATTCTTTGCCTGTACCCTTCAAATGGTTTATTGTTTAAGAGAAATGAATAAGAGATGTAATAATAGTAAAAATCGAGAGAATTCTTACCTATCCACGTTCTATCCAGGTATATTGATACAAAGGATGGGGGTATCGTGAAATAATCTACAAATGAATACATCTCGAGCATGAACCATAGTTTGTCACTAGCTGCTATAAACTGAAACAGAAAATTTAACATTTAGGATAGTTTGAAAAAAAAAACCAATTAAAAAAACCCAATAATGCAATGTCGAAAACAAATATTAATTTTTTTTTACTAAAAATGTTAAGAATTGATAAATAAAATCATTCGTATAATAATATTATCAATCAAGAAAAGTCAAGAAATGTGGTACATTTACCGGGTATTTCCTAAATTTTAAAGTTAATATATCACCAGTTCGATTCTATTATGAAATTTCCACCCAATATATATCTTCCTTTTACCAAACAAAAAATGTCAAACACTGTAGTATGTTACTAAATTAACAATTTAGGGTTAGATAGTTTGTTATATTTTCCTATAAGCTTAGATAGGACTGAGATCTTAGTCATGATAAAAGATAAACGGAAACCTATTAGGTTTGACGGAAATTGTTGAATTAGCATGAACGCATATGGATATATGATTCTATTGTTATATATCAGAACAAGAACCGACACATCCGTCACTCTAATTAACATCATTAAATTGCGCAATATCGCTTAGAATCATTTTCAATGCTTACCGCGTACGATTTTTGTAAGTGGACCAAATAAGAAAACTATTTTATGTATCAAATATATGGAATATGAATATTAGACATAGAACTTACTCGTATAAAAAAGTAGACCATAAAAAATATGTTAAAGGCAAGGTCGATCTGCTGAGTAATATTGTCACTCCATTTCTGACATCGCTCAACCTCCTCACTAGAAAAAAACAGATCCATTTGTATACAGTACAAATATCAGAGGGCACTTCAAAATACATACATATAAGCTTCTAATACAGACATCAGCTGTAAGTCAGGGCGAGCGGACACTAGTCAAGACAGGGTTAGAGCCGCAGATCGTGTTGTATGATAGCTCAACCAGTTGCTTAATCTAAAGACAGTCTACAAACATATAATCAGACATGATGCTTTGCATTAGTTTAGCTATACATATCTGCCGGCCTTCAGTTGTTGCAGTGTTTACAGATCTATGGTACAGGAAGCATTAATTAGAGCGCAAAATCAAGCATACAAAAAGTTATTCTCGTGTGTTCTTAGCATATCTTGACCAATATCAGCACAAGCCCACAACAGAAGCTAACATATACTATATCCAGCAAAACATTTGATCACATTGATTTTGTAAAACTCACGTATTCCTTATGAATTCAGCATTATAAGATATGTAACAATTAATATTTCAGCTACAATTTGCAACTAATCTAGCATTAGGAAAATATGTTACCTGGACGCGTCGATGAAGTAGATGATGAGCGATGCTATACTCAGAATGAACACCAACACTACCTGGAACGTGCGACACAATTGAAATTGGATGAAGAATTATAACTTTAATAGGTACGTTTTAAATAGGTATTAATAGCTATTAGCCAGCGTTAGCTGTTTAAATTTAATTGTTTTTGTTAATTTTTCCGATTTTTTAATACTTATTCTGCTATTCGGAGAAAAATCCATGAAAATCTGTCCAGCAGTTCTTGAGTTATAAGTGTTGTAACAAACCCGACTTAGTTTTATATACATAGATTAATAATTATTAAAATTATTATTATATACCCCAAGATGTATTGCGATGGAAAAGTTTGAAAGAAAGACTAAAACTTAAAGTTAACCTAAGAGACGTTGATGTTATATTATTCAAAAATTACCCAACAGGACATTATTAAAAGCCTCACTTGCAGTTACCCGGTTTTGTTGAATACCTGCTTGAATACTTTCTATATGTAAAAGGCAATTTTTAGGAATTCGTATCTCAAAAAGAAAAAAGAAACCAACATAAGACCATCTACTTGTTATTCCGTCACACTCAAGAATATACTGGACAGCAATTTTAAAAAGATTATTTGTGCCTAATTACAAATTTTTAGATGTTCCCCTCCAGAAGATTGGAAGAATAGAATAAAATATTTCTTTACGGTGTAACAAACGAACATTTAGACACACGAGTGTTCCTATACGGGATTCGTCTTTTGTTTTCACACCAAGAACTTACTTTTGATTTTATACCAAAAATTATTAGAAGTGTTTTAATATCTACCATTTATTACTAATCAATAGGTAAGTATATTATTAATGAAACAAAAACAATGCTTTAAATATCAGAAATACTAAATATTACTTCAACATTGTTGTTTAGGTCATTAAAAAATCATGAAATGCGTGGTTGAATCGATAAAATAATTACGGTGGCAACATCAGAGAGCTTCATTATTTTGTAACGAGAATCGTTGAAATTGGTTTGATTAATTTGAAAACAATGGCATACAAAATACCTATGCACATTTTATAACTAATGAAATTAAATATCATTTTATCGAGTCCCCGGCAAAATGTTGTCAATGTTAACAGTGGATCAATCGTAGGATAATCGGTATGTTGTGTATGTATGGTTATATAAAATTTAGTATTTCGCAGCTTTTTAAAGTCCTACTGCTGGGCACGGCGGGCCTTCAGTACGAGGGGGTCAGGCCATAGCCGACCACTCTAGCCAAGTGCGGGTTAACGGATTTCACGTGTCTTTCGAAAACCAACTCGGTTCCCTCAGACATTCACGTTTCTTCGCGATGTTTACCTTTTTTGTAAGACAAATGATAACGGGGGAATATGTTGTAAAATGATTCGTATATTTAAGTGTCAGTACCACTGGGCTACCACTGCATTGTATTAATTAAATTTAAAAAAATGAAAGTAAAACTACAACAAAAACACCATCTTAATTAATAACAGACTTTAATAAATTATGAATGATTGCAGCATAACCATAAGACCTGTTAATTATATCTAATTAATGCGGAGATGGGACCAGGGGAGATAAATTTATCAAATAATCCAGGAACTGGCGAGTGTCCATATTATTTAACCTTCATGATTGCTTTATTTGCGCAGTTACCATATTACTACAAGCCATATTATTTACACTGCAATTTAGATAAAATCGCAGTTAATTCTAAAATAGGAAATATGTATACCTAACGTCATACATATCTCGGTTTTGCATCGTCTAATTTGTTAGATATTACTATTTTACTATTATTGTATAGATTTCCATCGCATTTTTAATATTACGAAAACTCGCACAGAAAAGACGATATTTTCATTTACAATTAGTAGTTTCCCAAATTCGTTCAATAGTTTGTAAGATTAATTAATTTATAACTTGAAGTGGCATGTTATTTTATAATCTGTACTAGCGATGAATACGCATGATAATAAATAAATAAAATAAAAGCATGTACACTGTAGAGTATCTTCATATTATATACATAGTTATATTCAGCCCTTTTTAACGTCCCACTGCTGAGCACAGGCCTCCTTTGCCACGCTGGTTAATGCGGGTTGGCGCATTTCACATATCTTTCGAAAACTTGCTAGGTGCTTTCAGACATGCAGGTTTCTTCAAGTTTTCCTTCACCATAACACAAGCGGTAATCATATTAGAAATGATTCGTACATGAGGATATCAGAGGTGAGAGACCCGGGATTTGAATCCGCTTTACTCGGTTTCCCAAGCGAGGTGTTGCCACTGGACTACCACCGACTTTTTTATATTTACATTTCATATTCATAGTAAAGCAAACATTAATCTGTATTGCTAGTTTAAACTGCTATATGATTCAAAGTAGCAGATCACGTTTCCAGACTCCACAAGTGATAATTAATATTCATAACGGCTCTTATTCAGTGTACCTTTGCCGGTGGTTCATGATATCATCCAATGATGCTGAAGTAATGTTCTAAATTTGTCTTGAGGTGTACTCAGCGCTTAGATCACTTTAATTAAAAAAAACATATTAGGGGCATTTTTGCATAGATAAATATCGATTTTTATATATTTTTTTTACATTTCATGGAATTTGCAATGGCTGATTTTATGTGATCTGTTTAAATCCTAGATAATTTTCGTAATTCAGTGGTTAGACTATTACGGAAGGCGGATGTTTACAAAATTAACGTTGATTACTAAGTTTATGTAATCTGTGAATATTTGCTTCGGTTTGGCTAACGCTAAGTGCTAAGTTTGGCTGACGTCAAGTGTACGAAGATGAGAATTTTTTTTTTTAATTATTTAATCTAGTCAGTAAAGAACACTTTTTATTATTAATTAAGCTGCATCCTATATACATTATATGTATGTAAAATCTCGCATGGATTAAATTAGGATAAATAGTAGCGTGTAGTAGTAATCTGTATACCTAATAAATATTATAAATGTGTAACTTTGTATGGATGTTTGTTACTCTTTCACGCCAGAACGGCTGAACGGATTTGGATGAAATTTGGCACTGAGATAGATTATAATTTGGAATAACATATAGGCTACTTTTTATCCTGAAAAAATTTACGGTTCCCGTGGGATAGGTTTGTGTTTATTTTCCTAGAGGCTTCCCGCTAGTATAATATATATTGTTGCATAACGTAGTTGAAAGTTTGTGTACTAACATTCTTGAGTCATCGTTACTTGAAATGATTTAATATTATTATATTTTTTATGGACATAAAAATCCACGAATAGATAAAGTTACAAAGCAAAGCAAGCAAATTAACGAGCAAATAAAAACAAATATGGAATAATACAACTTTGATTAAATCAAAACCAAGAAGAGGAAATGTATAGAGAATTTCGTGTAATTAAAAATTCAGAATTGTGTCAGCTTCTATAAGTTTAATGACGACCGAGGTCGTGGCACTAATGACGTAGTGACGATAAAATCAATCAGTCACTGTCGATCACTTTTGACCGGCCAGCGACATTTTTGATCCAAAATTTCAATGAAAATTCATTTTAACATTGTAATTTCGAGACAATAGGTATATGTTATGGGATAAAGATTTAATTTATAGAGTAAAAATATCACACTACGTTAACTTTATTAAATGTCGTAAGATAAGATATTTCGTATTATTTATTAATACGATAACAAATCCAAAAACTACAAATATTAATAAGGTAAGCGCACGGAAGGGTCCTATTGAAGAGATGTACGTATTATAAACTATAATCTACACTTACTATTGTAAAGAGGAAAGATTTGTATTTTTGTATGTTTATAATGAATAAACTCAAAAACTAGTGGATCGATTTAGAGGAAATTTATTAAGAAGATAGTTCGAGACCCTGGGGAGAACATAAGATATATTTTATTCCAGAAATCATCCCTTAAGGGCATGAAAATGGGGTTGAAAATTTGTACGGGGTATCAACCTAGGGACGAACTCGAGCGAAGCGAAGGTGACTCGCTAGGCTAGGTATATGAATAAAACTAAGTATTCTGCGCTATAAAAGTTTACACACGAGCCACTAAAAATTCACACAAGAAACGCTGTAAGAAAATAATAAATATAATTATAATTTAACATCAGTGTTAGATAACATCTAATTTTTTATAAAATAGAATGTGCCATATACTCGTAAGTGGACTAAAGATGGTATTATGTCGATATTATTTGCGCGCTATGTTATCGACAGCTTCCGTGAAATATTTGACATTTACCGAAAGAAAATAACATGTCGAAATAAGTACCAAAAATAGCACAAATATTTAAGTGGCACTATCAGACCGTAGCCTTAGCACTATATGCAATCATACCCTCTATACTCTATAATCTCATCGTAAGTGGGCGTAGTTTCTTGATTATTCTTTATGACTAATGCATTTATTCATAAATATTAAAATTTTTGTCGATTGAGATTGAAGTTTGTTTAACAGAACAGTATTTATAAGAAAAAATCTACATAATATGGCTTGTGATCGCAGCACTTTAAATAATAAATGAATATTATGTGTTTTCACTTTTTCACTTCTTTTTTAGAAATGAATATGTAAATGTTATGCTAATATTTTGTTAGCTACCGTTCTCTGTCTAACTTCTATAAATAATAGATCGAATAAAGTACTTTTGTAGTTTTATGATGTTATTATAACATGGATATTGCGAGGAGATTCTTCAGAAAGCCTTTTTCCTGGTTTGTTTAATGGAAGAAACTAACTAACTAACTAACTTTCTTTGCCATTATTTGTTTTAGAACTTTTTTTATTTTTATAATCCCTGTGTCCTGCTTTACAAACTACTACATTATATGAGTAAATGTAAAAATTAATATTTTTAATAATTTTATGATAGGTGTTCTAACGATCTAGATTCTAGTTTATACGACTACAGCTTCTATTATTAATAAATGTACTCCTTAAAAGGATTGGTAGTAAGTAGTATTAGTGGTACAAAAAGATCGATAATTATCTATACTAATATTATAAATGTGAAAGTTTGTGAGTATGGATGTTTGTTACTCTTTCACGCCAGAACGGCTGAAGGGATTTGGATGAAATTTGGCATAGAGAAAGATTATAGTCTGGAATAACACATAGGCTACTTTTTGTCCCGGAAAAATGTACGGTTCCCGTGGGATAGGTTTGTATTTATTTTTGTTGAGGCAAACCCGAGCGAAGCAAGGGTGAGCCGATAGTTTCACTATATACTTAAAACTAAGTACCTACTGGTGGTCGAAATTCGACCACAATCATTATTGAACATTTGAGAAAACCTATGTGAAAAGAATTTACTCATGAAAAATCGAGTGTTCCCTCAATTTTTTATTCATAACACTAAAGCTAGCCAATAGCTAATTAATAAAAAAAACGGTTGACAAACAGCAGAGAAA